CGAGGTCGGCCCAACGCTGCAGGATGCGTTCTTTTTCCCTACACGAAGCATTCGTGAAGCAAGCGCGAGACAGCGCCAGGCAAGGTGCTCTGTGCAGTTGCTCTGTGCAAGTTGCTCTGCGCAAGTTGCTCTTGCGTAAGGCTCTGCGCAAGTTGGGTCTGCGTGTGCCAACTGCTCTGTGCAACTTGCTCTGCGCAAGTTGCTTTAAAATGCAAGTTGCATCTTGCACGCCCGCCCGCGGACCAGGGAGGAATCGAACCCGCGACCCGCCGGTTCCGGGAGCAGGCGCGCGAACCACGAGACAACTCCCGAGGACCAGTTCGAACAACAAAAGTCGCAAAAAACCTTGAGTTTTTGCACCTCGACCACGCCGATTCCCGCAGAGGGTTGCGCGAGCACCGCAGAAATCGCAAAAAACCATGGGTTTTTGCACCTCGACCACGCCGATCCCCGCAGAGGGTCGCGCGAGCACCGTTAGAAATCGCAAAAAACCATGGGTTTTTGCACCTCGACCACGCCGATCCCCGCAGAGGGTCGCGCGAGCAGGTTAGAAATCGCAAAAAACCATGGGTTTTTGCACCTCGACCGCCCCCCCGCAGGGCACAGCCGATCCCCACGCCCCCCGCAGGTCGCGCGCGAGCAGGTTAGAAATCGCAAAAAACCATGGGTTTTTGCACCTCGACCACGCCGATCCCCGCAGAGGGTCGATTTTCGTGTAGTGTCGTCGGCACTACCCCGCCGCCCTAAGAATAGATTTTAACTCCTCGCAAGTCAATTGCACTTGACTCCTTGCACTCAACTTGCACTTGACTCCTTGCTTGTTTCAAGGAGTCATTGCAAGGAGTCATTGCAAGGAGTCATTGCAAGGAGTCATTGCAAGGAGTCATTGCAAGGAGTCATGCAAGTTTGCAAGGAGCCAAGTGCATCAGTCAAGTGCAAGTCGCAAGTGCACGGAGTTAAGTGCAAGTTGCAAGTGCAAGGAGCCAAGTGCAAGGAGCCAAGTGCATGGAGTCAAGTGCAAGTTGCAAGTGCATGGAGTCAAGTGCAAGTTGCAAGTTGCAAGGAGTCAAGTGCAAGTTGCAATCCTTGCCATGACTCCTTGCAATGGCCTCCTTGCAATGACTCCTTGCAATGACTCCTTGCAATGACTCCTTGCAATGACCTTGCAATGACTCCTTGCAATGACTCCTTGCAATGACTCCTTGCAATGACTCCTTGCAATGACTCCTTGCAATGACTCCTTGCAATGACTCCTTGCAATGACTCCTTGCAATGACTCCTTGCAATGACTCCTTGCAATGACTCCTTGCAATGACTCCTTGCAATGACTTTCATGATGATGATTCCTTGCAATGACTCCTTGCAATGACTTTCATGACGCTGATTCCTTGCAATGACACCTTGTAATGCCTCTCATGAGAACAACTCAAGTGAACCCAGCGGAAGAACCCTTCGCCATGCTTTCGGGAAAATCCAAAGAACGATTTCTGGATTTTACCAATGTCTTTTTTAATCCACAACCAACTCGAGCTTTTGAGGTACCGCCTGGGTGGCCCGAAATCGGGCCCGACCGCGTTGCTTCCAAACCACCGGGCTCCTTAGTTTCTTCGTCAGGGGCAGAAAAAAAAGGCGACGAGGGATCCTTGTAATACAGGGCTGTGGGGAATGGAATCCACTATGATACAACAGAAAGGGCCTAACCCCAAAGACTATTTTGTGAATAGTCTGGGGGGGATTCCCTTGTATCACAGAGGGTGGGGAGAAACCCCCCTTGATCCCACAACCCTGCCTTGTAACAACGCTTTCTCTTTTTGTACTCATACCACGATACCAGATTTAGTCTTAGTGCTAGTTTCCACACCACTAAGGGTGCTCAACTTTTAGCAGGGGATCAAAGAGGAACAGCCCAGGCATCCCGGTATCCCGTCCTCTGGAAAAAATGCCCTTCATTAAAAAAAAAAGAAGAAGAACACAACAAATAATAATAATATAATAATAATAATAATAATAATAACAATAATAAAAGCATAGCCCCCAGATAGCAGTGCAAGCCCCGAAGAACGCCCCAAGCAAAACCCGGGCGTCAATCGAGCAACAATGCGCCCGCACCATCACCCTGAAGAGCACCCCAAACAGCACCCCCCAAGACACCCAGCCATCAATCTTGCGAAAATCAACCAGCACCCCAAACAGAATCCCAAACCACCACCTAAGCTGCATGCCCCCCTTGCACCCTACCATCAAGATGCAAACATGCGCCTGCACCGTCACCTGCATGCTCGATAGCACCCGAGAGTCAATATCGCAAAAAATGCGCCCGCACCGTCACCAGCACCTCAAACAGCTCCCCACAAACTGCATCCCACAGCACCATCAGCACCAGCACCCCAACCTGCATTCCCCCTGCGTCCTACCGTCAAGATGCAAAAATACGCGCGCACTGTCACCCCCCAAAACAGCACCTGCACAAGCACTCCAAACTGCATGCCCCCTAGCACCCTACCGTCAATCTTGAAAGGATGCGCCCGCACTGCCATCAGCACCTCAAACAGCACCCCGATCAGCACCTACACCAGCACCCCAGACTGCACGCCCCCTAGCACCCGCCCATCAATCTCGCAAATCACTTTCCCCTCTTTATTAGAAGTTAGAACCCCTATAGCTTTCAGCTATCTGGCTGAAAAACAAAAAACCAAAAAAACGGGGAGGTGGCGCGGAAACAGTCCTCATCCTCCTCACCCTCCTCGTCGTCCATGCGCTCGATCCATTCCTGGCAAAGTGGAGCCGAGGCGTCAGAAATCTCATGGCCTCCCGACTCTCCAACGTTACCTCAGATCTGCATTGGTGGTTTGGAGGTTAGGGGCAGGAATTCAAACTCCCAAAAACAACACTAAGATCGGTTGCTGTTGAGACCTCCGCAAGTTGAAAACTTGCTGTGGGTCCAATACGGAAAGTCTGCAAAGGTTCAACCAAAAAGTTAAAGTCCAAAGATCCGTTTCCCACTTGCCATAAAGGCCTCATTTCTTTCTTGGGACGTTCATGTCTCATGTAGTGCTTGTAGAAATGGCAAGGGTTCCCCGAAGCATTGCTCCAAGCTTTCAAACCTCTAACTAAAAAAATACCAGCGCAGCGGCTCCCTCCCACGCGCATTTCCTGATGTCTGTGTTGTCGGGTTGACCATTCTCAGTCAAAAAAAACGGAATGACTGAGACTCAAGGTGTGTGCCCTTCATCTTTCCGTAGAGTACATGCTTGAAGAAAATCAGGTTCATTCTGCCGGTTTTGGGTCGGTGCGGGTCTACTGTCATGTTGTCAAAGCAAGTGGCCTGGTCTGGCGCCTTGAAAGGCCGATGCCAGAAGTTGGAAACGCCCAAGGCCCCCGCGGGGCGATGCTTCTCAGAGCGTCATTTGCTTTTGACACGTTAATCGGGGCCTCAAACCAACATGGAATCCAAAAACCAGTCCTTCTTTTTTTTAGAGGAATCTCCTTTGTTCCTTTGTGGGGGACAGACCGCTTTCTCGGTTCCTTCCTTCTGTAAATTTGCAGACCTTAAAAAGTGCTTGCCATTTGGTCTGGGAAAGTTACTGAAAAATGTGTGTGCCTTTAAACAGCAATCGGTTTCCCCCACCAAACGGGGACCCTCAAAAAGCACACACACACACACACCAAGTATCGATTTGGATGGGTGGGTTAGTGGTTAGGTTTACCCTGTACAACCAGAGTTTCAACTCTCCAAACCGATCCAAACCACCAACTAAGGGCTACCTGAAAATCGCCGCTTCACGTCAAGATCCCTAAAAAACAACAACAGCATGCAAAGTCACAAACCCGGACCCCAAGTCAGGGCCCTTCCTGTCGTCAACTAGTTCGCTCGAACGGAGCACCTCTTTCATGGGCTGTGCAAAGGGAAACTAGGAGTAAGCCGAACATGATTTCTTGTTTGTGGGGGGGGGAGCTTGTTTGCTTTGTTTGGTGTTGTTTGCTTTTCTTAGTCGTTTTGTTTCTTTCTTTCTTTTTTTTCTTTTTTTTTGGGGGGGGGGGGAGGGGGGGTCCCCCAACTTTACGACAAACATCATTCACCCCCTTGTAGACAGATCGCCGACTTTTCTTGCAGGTGTGCCAACAGCTTGCCGCGGACTGTGGTTCAACCGCCGGGCTGTTCAACTACGTGGCATCGAGAGACAGGTGCCTGGGGTGTGTGAATTCACGTCTCTCTCCTTCAAATTCGGTGAAACGAGACTTGGGAGATCAATTCGTTTGGGTTCGATCACACTTCTCCGAAATCGGATGCGCCTTTACACATGGTTCTCCTGTGCCATCGGAACCAGAACAAGTAGAACCCGTGTAGAATTGGTCCCCCGGCTGCCCAACAGGCAGAGATCAGAACTCTGGCCGGGAGGTCATTGTTCAAACTCTGACCCGAGGATTCCAATGCTGTCAAACGCAAGACGCTGCACCAACTAGAACTACATCATTCATGTATTTACACAGTGTCCATGTTGTACACCTAACGTTAGTTTCGGATTCATACATGTGCTGTATACTCCAAGAGTCGAGGCGCCCCTCAAGAATCTAAAAAATAAAACTAATCAACCAGAGGTCCTCAAAAATCGTTTAAAAAAAAGGAGAAAAAAAGCTACGAATCCACCAGAGGTGGTTTCATCCTCTTCTCATTCCCCAGACCCATCCTGGTGGCCATGGGAAGTCAAATCGAATCGCTCTGCTGGTCGCGTTGCCGAAGTGGCAAAGGCGTCAAAATAGGGGGGCCAAGCCGAAAAACCGTGCGCCAACCTGAAGGGTACCCTCAAAACGTGGACCAACAGCGTCCTACAGAACTTTTGGCACCGGCCTGTCTTTGAAAGCCGCGTTGATGAGTTGCTCGCTCGTGTACCATTTGCTCCCAAGCCTAAATGCCCGGCTGGACAACTCTTGCGTGAGCCCAAAAGCCAAGGTTCTAAGATGGCTACGTAAAGTTTACACGCCTTACTCTAAGGCGCACTGGCCATATGAAACCACCTATGACTCCTGACCATGAAATTGATCGCGCGCGTAGTGCTCAGGACAGGAGGTCAACGGGCTCCTGCAGCGAGGCTGAACTGACACGCGCTTGCCCAAAGGACCTGGAAACGAAATACTTGAGAGGCGGGTGAACGAAAGCTAGCCTAGCCAGCCCAACGACAACATGTACGACTCAGGAGATTGACCTGTGGCACCAGGACGAAACAAGGACCAAAAAGGGGCAACGAAAAACTGTAATTTCAGGTTGATGCGCTTTAGGCAAGCGAGGGCTTGGAACAAACATGCGCCCCTTTACTTGCGGTGACCAACTTCACGTAGGTCCTCCAGTAGAGAGGTTAGAATAAGGGTACCAACTGCTTTCTTTGTAGTCTTTTTTAGTAGGGGAACGCTCCCTTAAAAAAGGGTGAGAAAGGGCACCTAGCTGGGGGACCTAGTCGCTTATTAGGAGATTCTATCATTTCTGGAAGGCTCAACGACTTTGAGAAGCAAACAAGACCTAGCAAAGGCTCTGCACATTCTTCCTCGAGTGAGAGGAAAACAATCTGACCTACGGGTTCAATGAAGAAGTGACAAGTCTAAGCGGCACCATATCTTGGCCCACCCGGGCTATGACTCTGTTCCATAATTAGCTACCCACAAATCTGACGTATGTTTGGAGACCCCCGCCGTATTCTGCGTGATTCGCCCATCTGAAACTCTGAAATGGGTAATTCTGCGTTGGTCTCCAACCAACCTAAGCCTGCAGAAAAGTGAGCGGTTTGCTGCAAGTAGTGTAAATGGTTTCAACTATCATAGTGAGGGGTTCATCACTGTTGGAGGGGAACATCCCCTTTTGACTAGGATGGGGTTGTGCATCCAGGGTCCACATTGTCTTTGCTGGGCTTTCCTCAGATCCCCTGCTAGATTAACTTGTGGGTTGAGTTCAGAAACCCAACCACGAAAAACCATCTAAAAGATGATCTAAGGACCTGAGTTGCACAGTCCAAACAAGCAGACTCTCAACCACCTCCTGGATCCGAAGGATGCCGATTTTTTTCTTTCTTCGAGCGAAATGGATCTGGATGCTGGCTGGAGCACTGGAAATGGACGCTCCTGTTGGGTCCCTTGACACATGACGCTAAACAGAAACTCAGAGTGAAACGCTCCGAAAAAAAGCTGTAGCAGCCTGGCTCAAACATCTGGGGTACTCCAAGCATGACATGCTCTGATTATTTGTTTCATATTTATGTCCCAAAATACAACATAAGTCCCTCCATTTTGCTGAAGTCGCCCGGAAAATGATAAACATACTTCCAGTCGTGAAATCGATTCCCGTCAAAACCAACCAGGACAAAAACAAAAAACAAGACATGATCATCAAGGCCCTCCAGTAGAGAGGTTAGAATCAGGGTACCATTTTGTTCTGTAGTCTATTTTAGTAGGGGAACCCTCCCCTCACCTACAAGAATTGGGGAGAAAGGGCACCTAGCTGGGGGACCTAGTCATTTCAGCAACCTGAAACAAGGTGGTTGGGGGGCTATTCCCCACACAAACCACCATTTTGGGTGAGGTCGTGCGAGGTCGTTATAATTCACCCAGAATCATTTCAGCAAACGGAACTCCCAAAAACCTCCATGGACCCCTCCCTTCGCATCGCTTCCGGGCCTGGCTCGCCGAAGCCTTCACGGCCGGAACCGCCTGACCGGTGGCGCCAGTGCTTCTATGGCCCTCCCAAAAGCAGCTGCACCAGACTTGCAAATGTGGACCCCCCCCCAAAACAAAAAAAAGAGACACCCTCCCAGTCATAGGTGTCCTTTTAGGGGAAATAGATGGGTTTCCCTGGTAGATGAGGAAAAACCACCAGGTAAACCAGGAATCGCCACCTATTTTCCGACCAAAACAACCAAAAAGGACACCTATGGTAAGTTAGTCGCCTTCCATTTGCGTTCTTCGCCCCATGGAAAAATGAGAACATATGTCCAGTATAGTGATAAATTCCCCTTAGAACCAACAAGGGAAAGAAACTTACTGTTAAGCAACTGGGAAGCCACCGTTGGGCCGAAAGCGCATCTTGGGCGTCTGTTTGCCGTTGTTGCAAGCAAAACGTCTCGAGCTGGACACATGAACACAAAAAAGGAAAACCTTCGGAAGCTCGCAGAAGGGGCGTGGCTGACTTGCTCTTCCCAGAAGTCACTCCCGAATCAATGCCCACGAATCTCCTCCCCTGCGCAAGCTGCCTTCCAACTTGCCGGTGGAAGGCCTATACGGAGGCATTCCCGCGGGAAGTTTTTTCTGGAAGCATTTGCCCCATACGTCAAGTCAATCTTAGAGGGATAAACCTCCTCGTGGTTGGGACTATCCCTTTCTAGCCTTCATCTTGCCGGGTTTTGAGTGTGGCTCATTTGGGGCTGTCCTCCAACTATTGAGGCAAATGTCCCGTCTAGAAGTCATATCCATTCACTGCTACGTACTGCCGTAGCTTGGCCTCCCTCGATGTCTGACCATGTACATCACCGGTCCATACGGTTTGAAAAAATACCGGGGAGCTTGCCAGCAAATTGTGCATGGATGTGTCTGAACTCGGGGGAGCCCAAAATCATGGAACTGGTTGCCAAAGGAAAATGCTGGAGCATCATCATTGGCGAAAGGTTGCAAAGGTAAGGCACGATCCCCTGCTAAAGGTTCAACGTGTGGGCGAAACTCGGCAACCCCCACCACGAAAAACCAACTAGATGATCGAAACACCTGTCCGGAACCGGATGGCTGGTTGAACCAGGGGCAAAAAGAAGGACTTTCGGGAAGACTTCGGAACTTTCGGAACTTGCCCAACTGAAAAACACGATAATTCACGCCTCGTGGCCCGTCAGCAGGTCCCTGGCGCGCTCCGAAAGGCGCGAAGTGGGGTCGGAAAAGCTCCGAAAGGCCCGCGGAAAAAAATTGGGGTACACGAAACTGGTTCAACACCAATTGTGGCAAACCACTGGGCAGAAGCTTTGAAGCTATGGGGGGAAAATAGTATCTCGTGACCAAGTGTTCAACATCATTTCGTCCACTATATGCTTGTCATTATGTTGGAGACCCCAGGTAAAGGGAAACCTGCACATACAGGTTTCCGGTCAGCAGATTTCCCCATGTGGGAAATGAACCTTTCTTTGACGTCCAGTGGGCCATCCGCAAGACTACATTGTCACTTTATATAAAGGGCACTACCTTCATGCCACAAAAAGTGGCCCTTGAAACACCCAGTTTTCCACACCCATGCCCTTGCCACCCCCGCCGCTCACCCCCGCCGCCCCCCCCCCCCCCGCCGGCATATCATGGGCGTGTCTTCTTGGGAACCCCCTTCTTGGTTGCTGTTTTTCCCCAGGAACCGAAAGGTAAACCGAAACCGAAGTCCGAACTTTGAGACAAACCCTCATCGCAGAGACCCAAAGTCAGAAGCACGAGCAACGTCTGGAGCTGCCACGCATGATTGCGCGGCTTTTTGCGACCAGAAAACTGGTCTTCGAACATTGATTGAAGACCAATCCTTTTCCGAACCCGCCATGTCCTTGCAGAAGCCAGCTCTGAAAGGCTCCCCTCCTCACAAGCAAAACTTGGATACCCCTCCTCCCACTCCCACAGCACTTGTGGGAGGCTGGAAGCTCGCTCTTCCCCCAAAGGACCCAACCCCCCCTTCGCCCCCTTCCGGCTCCCTTCCGGTCACCAGCTGAGTCACTTGCTCAAAAATGGTCGTGATCCCAGAACCATGCTTCAAGAATTGTCCCAAGGCGGATCTCGGCGTTTCTATTTCTGGCAGACTGCACCTTACTGACCGGGTCATCAGATCATCAATCCCGGGTTTTGAGGAAATGGCTCAGCTCAGGTTGCCCTCCTCCCACTACCGCAGCATTTGTGGGAGGCTAGGCGCCATGGAGGACTCCCTTCCAATCACCAGCTAAGGTTGCTGCTCTTCCCAAATTTCGCCAGCGGCGCGGATGCAGCTGCTTCTGAATGGCCGCCAGGTCGGGCCCTGCCTGGCGACTGGCACCGACGGGAGAAAGCGCGGAGGAAACCTCGGCGGTTTCACCCGCCTGGGCGGGGCCGTTTTTCAGATCCCCTCCTAGTTTCTTTTTTCTTGACAAAAAAAATGAGTTGTGGATCTCCTAGTTGCGTTGTTTTTTTTTTGGTCAAATGGAAATTACTAAACCAACTACAAAGCTATAAAGCTAAGGAACCGGATGGCTGGGAGCCAGCCTCTGCGTGCGTGTGTCAAAATAAGCTGGCGGTCTTCCGAGTTCAGCTTCCCTAAAGGGTGCTGAGCCCGGGTTGGACGCGCCTGGTTTTACAAGTTGCCCTCAATCCCAACCCCTTCCCGTGTTGCCCCCAAAAGCCGCTCTCCTTTTCTGGCCTCATGGTTTTATCATGGTCAAAGTCAGCCCCCGAGTAAGTGGTGGGCTTCCAGGATTACTTCTCGGTTGCTTTGTGCTCCCCTGCTAAAAGTTTAACTTTTAGTGGTTTAATGGAAAACCCACTAGTTGGCAAAAAGTTAAAGTCCTAACAGCCAAGCAAAATGCACCGAAGACTTGGTGGTTCCCAGCCATCCGGTTCTTAGGTGAGGAGATCTTTAGAGTTGGTTTTTCGTGGCTGGGTCTCCGAATTTCACCCTCAAAGTAATGCTCCCGACACAACCGTCACGTGCTTGTTTTTTGCAGGAAACCAAACGGATGGATGCGGTTAGGTTGCTCGGTCATTTGGAGCCCGGTGGATTTTCAGGTGTAGGGGTGGTTTCCCATATGTCCTCCACAAGAACCAGGGGTTCAAAGTGCGGGAGACCGATGATCCCACCAGGGATATCCTTTTTTGGCGCAGGGGAAGGTTTGGTTGGGGGAATTCGACGTCCCCAGCCCGAGAAAACAATGGTCGGATCTTCGGCGGCGAGTTTCTGTGATACCAAGGGAGAGCCCTTTGAAGTGAGGTCATGGAAATCGCCACAACTTGGGCAAAAAGTGGCCGGCCAGAGCATGGGGAAGAGCTTCACATAGCTGCACGCAAATACAAAGTGAGCTTTTACAGACGAAGATCCGTTTCTAGTGGGTTCCCCCCCCCAAAAAAGGAGTTCAATTTAAAAGGCCTCGAAACCTTTCAGGGCACCGCGCGCAGCTTTGGCCGCTAGTGACGCTGCTGGAATCGGAGCTCACGCCGACCCGAGGCTCTTGGAGCCGCCGACCCAGGCGAGGTGCCAGGGTCCTCCTGAGCCTCGCCGGACGAGTGAGTGCCTGTACCTGCGTCGCTTCTCCGCGTAGATGTCCTGAGCCCTGAGAGAGTGCGTAGATCTCAGTGAGTGCAATCCTCCGTCTTATTCGCACATGTCACTAAGAGACCCCCTTATTTGGCACCCAGCATCCTTTTGCTTGCCCCCCCCTTTTGGCAAGCAACATGTTTCCTGGTTCCCTCCTAAACGTGTTTCCGTTTCCTTCTCGGAGGTATGCCAACCTCTTCCGACCAAAATTGTTTCGGTGATCTACTGGAACGCAACCACGTATGTTGATAAAGCTGCTCCACTTACAACTATTCCTTTTACAATTGTCCTATTTTTTTGCTCAGTCTCCCAAGCGCGATTCTTTATGCAAATATTCCGTTGTTGTTTTGCATGCTTTTTCCACACTCTCTATCTAATTCCATGCCCGAACTCAATACAACTAGATCTAAAAAAGAAAACATGGGTATGGGTCAAAATTAAACCACTAGGGGGCCGCAGGTTTCAGTCCTTGGTTCCATTTGCTAGGGCAACGCATTTGGGGGTTACCCTACTTTGACAACCACAGCCGTATAGAACAATGCACCAGTCTACCAGTCTATTCTATTGTGGGGTGGGGTTGGGGGGGTTGGGAGTGGGGTGGTTCTTTAGGTGATGATGGTGGCGGCAAAAAAACAAAAACGGAAATGTGGTTAAAACCAGGCATTCCAAAATGGTTGGTGTCAACTGGTGCAGGATTTCGTCCATCAACCGTGCTTCTATAACTTGTGGTTGGTGTGCGTTTCTTGCATCCGCCGTAATCCGCCATCAGCGCTCTTCTGAAGTTGAAGCCGTGTTCCCCTGATGAAGGCTTCCACACCAACGTCTCAACCTCGTCCAATAGTCCCCAAAGTTTCCACAATCTGAATCTAAGCCGCTCCCCCACCAAGCACCTAGATCAAAGATGTCTTAGGTGCAGAACCTGAGGATGATGAATCCAAAATCCACCCCTCGCCTCCTCCTCCTCCTCCTCGTCCAAGAGGCCCTGCTTCAGCAAGCTGACCTCTTGAGCCTGCGCAAACCCGCCGCGAGCATGTTGTCCATCTTTTCAATCCCTGCTGGGCTGCCCTCAGATCCCTCGCTAAAAGTTTAACTTTTAGTGGGTTAAATGGAAACTGCCACTAAACACTAAAAGGCTAAAAGGCTAAGGGGATGGCTGGGAGACACAAAGTATCCTCTTCCCATGCAACTGGGTTCCGGGGACAAACCCCAAAAGGAAACCAGGAGCGGCCATGCAGCACCATGATACGTGGCTCGTCTTTTTTGGAGCTGGTACCCTTTTCGGGGTGTTTTCAAGGGAAGCCAAAAGGATATCAACACAGTTTGGGGGGGTCCCCTAAAACAAGACACACCCGCATTGTGATTGAAGCAGCATTATGTTCCGCGATACACCTATTTTCACATCACAACAATATTCGCGTCACGAGGCTGGTGGGAGCGGTAAACAAATCCATTTGGTTTGCTGCGCGTGCCTTTCTACCATTCGAACTACAAGTTGTATATTGGACCCATTTCAATATCTCCGTGTCTGACAAAGGCAAAAACAAAATTTATTAAACATGCTTAGATCACTCATAAAATCATAGCACCATGTCAGAATAAGTAGATTGGAGTGTTGGGGCTAAATGAAACTTAGTCCTGATCGTAGAGGTCAACTTGGGCCTTTCTATCATTTGTTTACCCCTGTCGTCACCATGCTTCACCTATGGTGAGGCCCTATGGTGAGCAATGGTTACATGGAGGATTGATGTCCTATGTTGAAAAGGACGTATAAAAATGTCCAATGTCCTATGTCCTATGTCCTATGGTATGGATGTCCAATGTCCTATGGGATACTGAAAAAACACTTCGCCAACTGGACTAGGACATCCCCAAATAAGTCGCCTTCACGGGCGAGCTCGTTTGACTCCCGGTTCCCGAACCGGTAAGCTCGCCGTAGCTTTCTAGGGGTTGATTCCAACCCTTCTTGGCAACCATCGTTCTTTTTGAATCACCAGCTGCTTCCCTGGGTTCTTGATGGTTTCCTGAGAAGAAGGATCCCTGGAAAGAATGGAAATGGAAGGTACCCCTAGAACTTGGTTGACGTTGGAAGGGGAGCAAAAATTTCAATTTTAGCAGTTAAGTGGGGTTTTCCCACTAAACAACAACAAGAATGCAAAATGTTTCCCAACAACAACCATGAGAAGCTTGTCCATCTCGGTGCCAGCTTTTTGGTTGGAACCCCCCCCCCTTGGTGCGGCAACCACGGAGAGGGCCCGAAGGCCCGGGAAGGGTCGAGGGGTTCGACAACAACAGGACACGATTTGACCCAACGTCTACCCTCTCACTTCCCGAGGTGGATAGCCACCAAAAAACATGGTCGAAACTTGGTGTTTGCCACTAAAATGGTCTTCCCAAGAACTTCACAGTCCAGGAACCTGGGGAGTGAGTTCTGGTGTGGGCATTGTCTCAAGGTTCTTTTCAACCCTGCAACGGGGGTCGCTCAAAGGGCCACAAACTGGAACCATCGCGCGAGTGGATCATTCCCGCTCGCCTTGATGAGTCCCGCGGTGCCGCCACCTCCTGGGCCGCGCGGCGAAAAGAAACAACAAAAAACACGCTGCCCTCCCTTCGGAGGACATACCTCAGTTTCTGGCCTTGGTGAGGAGCAAGGTGGAGATAAGTGTGTTCCGAGACCGGACCCACGGGCTCTAGAAGCTCGGAATTGTCCGGCAACGAGGAAGCCCAGGCAAAAGGACCTGGGAATCACAGATGTTTAGTCTTGACAACGGAAGAATAGAGTCCCGAAAAGACAAGGATCGCCTCCAAAGCAGGAACCCGCTCATCAAGCCGAGTTTTTCCTGGCTGGTGCTTGGAAAACTCTGATCTGCCGACAAAAATGCTCCCTCAGAGCCAGATCTATCCCCCAAAACTTGTCTGCACGCCAAGATGGGTTCGAGTCCTTTGCCGGGGGGGACACCCTTCCGCACTAATCAACAAGGGGTGCATTAATTCTGTGTTGACATTCTGGTTTACTCGCGCGAGCATGCTGCATCATCCCTACCATTCACGAATTCTAATGTCCACCAAAAGGGTCCACAAATAAAGTTCAGCCCCCAAATAAATGAAAGATCCTTTGGTGTTGTCACCATACGGGTATGTCTCCTTTTAAGCCAACGTCCAAAGGGTCACGCTATGAAAATGCAATCCCAAAGCAGCGCCCAACACCCATTGACTTTTGGTTCTGCCAACATGGTCAAAAAAGAAAAGAAAAAGAACTAAGGCCAAGATTCCACCATGTAGCAACCGAACGGACATATTTTTGGGCCCTTTCGGGGGGGTTCGGTTTTGGGCGCTCCACTCAGATTTTCTCTCAGGGCCGGCGCCGGAAGGATCAGGGCGATAGCCCTGGGCAGGTCCAAAGGAAGCTCAGGTCAACGTCAGGTTTTGATCCAACTATCAGGGCCCCAACAATTTGAATGGGCTGTGGGGTGGTCAACTTCCAACTTCTATCAGGGCACTTTCTAAAAAAGGTAGAACAGGCACTCCCTTTAAAGCATTTAAAGAAATCAAAAAAAGGGGGTTCCCAACAAAAAGACACCGTCGTTTGATACGCTCGTTCCACTCACATACGGCAGTCTTCCCACACCTTCCGATCAGAAACCCGTAGAAAGGAGGGGATGGCCTAGCGGAATCGGTGTCCTTTTTGGTTGCAAATAGATGATGGCCCTGGTAGTTGATTGAAGCACCAGGTAAACCAGGAATCGCCCCTATTTTCAAACCAAATCAACCAAAAAGGACACCATGGCCTCAACGGAATCCGGGAGATTTGGGCCCATCGCTGGGAAAAAAGTTTGGAACATTCCGAGAGTCTCCCTGGTGAGTTTTTTCGCCTCATCCAAACCAGTGGAAGCCATCTTGCAAGGAGATCTGCCCCGGGAGTACACGAGCAGCCACCAAACGTACCACAACTTTTGTCAACAAGGGAGAAACTCGAAGCAAAGTCGCTGAGACCATTCTTCCCTGGTGAGTTGTTTCACCTCATCCAAACCAGGGGAAGCCATCTTCGAAGGAGATCTGTCTTTGGGCGGGTCTCTCAAACAATTGTGCTGTGGATGGTTACAAATCCGTGGGCACCAGTGGCTTCATCCCACAATGGGGGTTTCACGCAGGCTAACTGGTGCAGGATTTTGTTCATCCACGGTATGGTGGGGGGGTCCCTTTCGATTGGTATTCAAAGGAAGCCCAAAAAGAAGCCAACCAAACTTGGGGGGCACTGATTTTAAGAAGCCCATATGGAACCGACAAATCTTGGGCACAGCTTCCTTCTAGCAACCCGAAGGGGTTGCGAGCCTCAAAAAAGTAAAAGGCACGCCCAACATATCCCTTTAAATTCGTGGTCGTCCTTTCGCCTTCCCTTTTGCTTTCACCAGTGAACCGACCTTCCAAAAGGTACCCTCAACAAGACATTCATCCTGGCTCCGTGTGCCAGGAATCCGCCCCATTCAGCGCTTGGTTCGGATGTGGATTCTGTGCAGTTTGATAGTTTGCATCGGAAAGGAACCAATGTGTTAGACCACCTTTCAACGGAACCCCTTTAAGCCATGCCGGACGTTTCAGGGCCCCTTGAAAGCAACCCTGTTGTGAGGGCCCAACAAAAAAATCGGAACCCGTTCTAGCCATGTTTCTTCGAGAATCAAAAAAAACACGTTGAACCCAGCGATCGCAGCGAGGCGCATTGGTCCCGTAAAGCCCGCCCAAAGCCTTCCAACCTAACCAACAAAAAGCAAACTATAAGTGAAAACATCGAGGTAGCGATATCAAAACGAGATGGGGTACTGGATATTCGGGCTAAATATGTACTTGTGTGTTACACATGACCCTTCACAGTATGTGGCATGTGGGGTTCTATCTAGTCGTCCCCAGAAGGGGCCTGTCTCACAAAAGGAAAATGGACCCCCAGATCTTGGCTGGTCGTCTTTTGCTCTCATGAAAACCAACCAAAAGGAAGCCTCCCAACAAGACGGCCAGGAGATGCAGTCGTTGAGAATCAGCCTTTCGCAAACACAAACTGGGCCCGCAAACAAAAAAAAACAAAAACGGAAAAAGGAAGCAAAAGAAGGAGCCAAACCCGAGGAACTCGAAAAGCCCACCGCCAAACCCACTCGACTGGGCCACGCCTTCTGAGCCTTCGGCCTGGAGCAGTGAGCCCAGCCGCTTGGGTGTGGTGGGTTTTTGAGGGCACCACTTTCTGCCTAGACTCTCAACAAATGGAGCTCCAGCGCCATGTTTTTGCCCCAAATGTTGCAAAAAAAAAAAAAGATCCGAAGATTGCCGGTCTCGTCCTTTTGTTCTTTTTCGTTCAACGATTCGGACCCCCAGATCCAGCCGGTCAGGAAAAAGAAACTCGCTCCCATGCACGCAAAGCGTGCACGTTTTGAGGGACATGTCGAGAATGGACGCCCACCGCCTGTCTGAATTTCGGGTTTTGGAAGGTGGCCTCCCTCGGTCAGATGGCCACCCTGAAGGTTGGTTCGCCTCTGCTCTTTTGCAGGGTCTGGGTGAGCTATAATGCTTCACCCAGCTGAAATAAGGTGGTTGAGGGGCTATTCCCCACATAAACCACCCTTTTGGGGTGAGGTCGTGTGAGGTCGATATGATTCACCCAGCAGGGTCCCGTGGGCGAGTGAGCTCTTGCTTGTTCGGCGGGATACTTCTTGTCTCAGCCCACCCTTCAGAAAAACAAACACCGCCTTACCTCCTCCACCTTCCACTTCCACTCCCCCCCCAGTGTTGAGTGACCTTTGGACTCTGAATCAGCACTCCCGGACAAGGCCTACCCTCCAGGTCCTTCTCAGACCATGTCCCTTTCAAAGGGACCAAGTCCCTGCCGAAAAAATCCCGATGTGGACGGTCTGCAGTACTCTTTCTTCCCACCCACCGGGGGAAACAAAAAGAAGAAAGAAAAGGAGAAAAAAAAAAAACGAGGAACAAAAAAAAGAAAAGAAAAGAAGAAGAAAAAAACGCGTTGGTTTCTGCCGATTCGTCTCATGGGCTGAGTCCCCGGCATCCCCGGCCCCAGCGTCTGCTTGAGGTCCTGAGGTAACTCACGCCATGCTGCTTTCTCATCACCGGGCCCGTTGTTTTTTTCTTTTTTCTTTTTTCCCCCCCGATCTTTTGGTTCGAACTTGTGGGTGAAATCCGGAAACCCGGCCAGTGAAACAACTTAAAAGATCTGAGATCACTTTGAAGTACCGCAGAAGTTGGTACGAAAACCAGGCTTTCCAACACGGCCCGGGCACAAACGATGTTTTTTCAAGACTACCGTTGGATACCCTTTTGAGAGATTCACTGCCAAATATTGCATACTCGCTTCTTGTATACTCTACCACGGTTCTTCCTTCTTTCGAGGGTTTCCCGGGGCCTTTCCTGTTCCGCGAAAGGCCAACGACCGCCAATCCTCGTTGGCTCAGATAGTGCGAGAAGCCTGTTGAGATCAAGCTACGGAACATGTCGGCCAGTTTTGGTGGTCCACTTCGGGTCAACTGGGTTCAAAGAACCTGGTAAACGGGCCCCCTGAAGGGGTGACTGTTGCAAGAGAAACACCGAAAGCGGCGTTCCCCGAAGCCATAGAGACCCTAAACCCAAAACCCGACCCCCATTAAAAAAAAAAAAAACGTGTCAAATACTGGCTTTCCTGTGTGTGTGTGTGTGTTTCCATTTGCACCAACCTGAAACATCGGACCATCCAAAAAACGCACGCCGAACTCAACTCAACTTGCTCCAAGCCACACCTAAGACTGCTTAAAACGTGAGTGAAAGTCCAATGGCAACCTTTTTTGGGGGCACCACCAGTGTCCAATTGAGCAGCTCCCACAACCTGACTGTGGGTACCAATGTGGTGAAGGTTTCTGGAAGCCTTACCATCCATGAAACCAGCTAGAACCATGTGCAAGTTTTCGGGTACCCTAGGTAACTGTGGGGTATACACCAAAAACATAAGATTGTCCGACTCTTCATGTGGGGTGTGGGTCAAAAATAGGCACCCAAATGGAAACCAGGACTGAAACTATCAGTTTCTGTGGCGACCCATACCCATATTTAGTCAACCTTGAAATGAGAATCATACTGTGGGTGGTTGCAAACGAATGGCTGATAAACCACCTCTCAAAAAACTTACGTGACGCGGATTTTGCCCGGCCACCCTGGGGACTCCACAGTACATGATGCTTCTTTTCGGCCCTTGATGGTAGGTCCATTACTAGGGGAACCCTCCCAACCAAGAAACGGTGAGAAAGGGCACCTAGCTGGGGGACCTAGGTAACCGAACGGGCCAAAAACACCAACACCAACGGTAAAAAAAATGAAGAAGATGTGATGTCTCATCCCCCGAAGAACCCGAAGAACCAGCACGTCGAACGTCGAGCGTCGAGTGGTTGAGCCTTGGTCACCGTCTCGCCCCAGCTCCACAGGCTCTCGGAGAAAGACCAGTTCTCCTCTGGACGGTGTGTCGATTTCTTTTTGGACGCTACCCTCCCACCAAGTAACATGGAAGTGCGCAGACCCCCTGCAGAAAGAAAAAAGCCAGCTTCCTCTTGGAAAGGGGCTTTACGCACCGCAAGTACCCTTACTTCTTTGCGGCTTTCACGCAAGCCAAAAGGAACCGCTCACTTGTTGCCGGGTCCCCTGAAACGAGACACGCCGCATGGGGGTGTGTCTTTTGGCCTGGCGTACCCCTTTTTGGTGCAAAGATTAACGGAGAAGCCGCCTGAGGTGCCCAAAGCCCAAGGCCAGGCTGAGATAGACCAAATAGACCGAAATGGATCGGTGTGGGCGAGTTGGATGAAACCAGCCTACCAGGTCCTTGCAACTCCTGGTAGCCCCAAAAGGTTCCCGCGGCAACTTTGGGCATCTCCGTGGCTCCCCTCCAACCAGCTGACAAGACGATTCTCTGTTTTTTGTTCCTGCTCCCCTGCTAGAAGTTTGACGTTTAGGGGTTTACTGGAAAGCCCATTTGTTGGCCAAAAGTTCAGACCTAACATTCAAGCAAAATGCACAAAAGTATTCTTGGTAGCTTAGATGCAAGTGTGTGAAAACTGGCGTTATAGGACGCAAAATTATTCTGAGAACCTTGAACTGTTCGGCCAATTTCGGAGAAACACTATCAACCTCGCGAGCCCCCTGAGCTGACGATCTGAAGCGAACCAAGCACTAAGAAAAAGGAGTTTCGGATGCCACCAAGTTTGCTCGCAATTTCAAGGGGCTCAAATAGCCATGGGTCAAAATCCAAATCGTGCTCTGAGTGAACATCCCAATCCCCACTAAAATAGACCAAAATGGGTGGTGCACCTACCCCAAAATGGTACCTTTGGTTTTAACCCACAGCCAAATGAACAATACTTGGACCGAACCTTAGATCTTTGCGCCTGCCTCGAATAGCTGCCTCCCAATACGGTCGGCTTCCTTTTGCTTTCCTCAAACAAGACACACGCACACACACATGTCCAAGTAACATTTGGCTACTTTCGGAAGGCTCCACCTGGGTAAGCGATAATAATTCACCAGAAGCCGAACAAAAACATCATGGGGTTTCGCGATGCCGTGATTTGAATTGCTCGGGCCCAGCTCGGAAAAAAAAGAAGGTATGCCTTGAAACAGGAATCACATTTCTTTGGGGCTTGGTCTGGTCGGTGGGGGAAGTCTTTGACAACTACTACCAAATGAGTCTTTTAAAGCACACATGTGGGTCTGTGCCGTTTTAGTCCCCTGTTTCAAGTCGTTCGTTTTCTGTGGGAAGCCACACAGAAAAACTTAAAACCCACCCAGGGTGGTCCAAGACCACTTTTTTTTCTCCCACACCACATGGTCATGAAGCTTCAGAGCGGTCGGATCTGAAGCCCCGAATTCTGATGTCCACCAACGGGTCCGAACGAACTTCTCTAAAAATTCGGGGTCCGTGTCCTGAAATCTTGTAGGTGTCCTTTTGGCTTTGCACACACCAACTGGGGGTTGATCTATATTCCTGTCCCCCAAATGACCATGGGTAACTTTTCCCATGGGGTGAGTGAGGTGAAAGGGAGATCCTTTTCTTGGCGGTTTCCAAAAAAGGTCATCCCATGTTCATCGGACCTGTTCATTCAACTCCCGCAACTGAAGGCGGAAAAAAAAAAACTGTTGTTGCTGTTTGGTTTGTTGTTTTTTGGTTTTCCTGAAAATACCAACTAAACCATGGATCCAGTTTGACATCTTCTGCCCCTTGCCCTCCAGCCACTCGGCCACTCGGCCACTCTCCTCCGCCTTCTTCTCAGGCTGCGTCGTGCCCTGGCACCGTGGCGTTGCAAAGACTCGGCTGGGCCTTGAAACCTCCGGGAAATTATCCAAGAAATCGGCCAAATACCTGCGAAAACCCGGGCTTTGATCTCCTGGAGATTCAGCCACAACTAAGGGTTCATATGTGGGCATATATGCATTCAGCCTTACGCTGGGACTTGTGCTTTTGCTGGGACGGGTACTTGCCAAACAAAACAGATCGAGCCACATCTGGGTATGAGTCTCAAATGGGCACCTCTTCGCTCGGTTGCTTTCTGCTCCCCTGCTAAAAGTGACTAACTTCTAGTGGTTTCATACGGAAAACCCATGAGTTGGCAAAAACAGTTGTTCAGTCCCAACATGGAGACCTCTTCGGACAGATTTATTTATGTCCACCCACCATCTGGGATTCTCCCCCCACAACTCATGGCCCTGGATTCCTCCGAAACGGATGGGGCCTTCCGATCCGAAACGGGCTGGAGCCGGCCTTGAAAAGAGAAAAGATAGAAAGAAAAGAGGCAACATACTCTCCCAACAAAAATAGAACCTGAACAGGGGTCCCCCCAAAGGGAAAATGGCGTTCCCCGTCCTTCTGTGGTTCTTTGTGTTTCTTTGGGAGGAAAAGTAACCCGAACCCAGGAATCCAAAGTGATCTTCCTTCGAAATCCGCATGCCGAACAAGAGAAACCGAAAGCTGATTTCAGGTCGACGAAACTTTGCAAGCGAAATGAAGCCAATCCTTGGCCTCGGCAAAAGTTTTGAAGAGCATCCCGCCCGAGTCCAATGCATCTTGCCAAGGCGGGACGAGTAAAGTTTTGAACAGGATCTCACTTGGCAGTTTGGGCCCCATATGTTTTTAAATGTTTTTTTTTTCAAAAAACTGGTAGAATCTTGACTAAGAATGGTTACCACTGGGCAACCAGAAACTCATCCGTTCTGCTTGCGATCCGTCGCCCGGTGCCGTAGCGACCGCGTTTTGCGCTCCGCAGCCGCCTCCCCGACGACCGACTCCTGCAGCGTCTGGCCCCACCTCGAAGTTTCGAAGCGCCCAAGCAGTGGACAACCAGTGGGTCTCTTTTTGGGAAACAAAAGGAAAACCAAAGGGAATGTACAAAAGTTCATTTGTTGGATTCCCTTCTTTGTTTTTTTTGCCTTTTTTGGGGTTGCAAAGGGAAACCAAAACAACCAACATAGTTGGGGTCCCCAAATAACTTGCGATCGGCTCGATTAGCAGGGAATTGATTGGAAACCCCTCGAAAATCCACCCCCGAGATGGTTTCCTTTCAGGGAATCCCCTTCCGGTCCATTCCCAACACCCGGAAGGTCATTCCCCACTGAGCGCCAGCAAGAAAAACATGGAGATCTACCCTGTCCACGTTGCCATGGAACCTGACTGAGGAATCGGTCCTGGAAAACTTGTTTCCTGCAAAAGAGACCCTAGTCAAATGGGTTCGACAGGAGATTGAATTGCAGGTGCCTTTTATCTCCTTTCGGCGTGTTTTAGTCTTCCTCGGGACAAATTCGCCACGGAAGCGCGACAAGTCTAATTTTGTGTCAGCGGTCCAATTGATAGGCTTTCCTTCGAAACAGTGGGTAGCCACCTTGCTTGCTACTGTGCAACTTCGTTGCTTGGATTCGGAGGCCTTTCGTTTTTTTTCTTTGGGGGATTGAAACTTCTCCCTTTGGGGCCGCACGAGTCGTCTCCTGTTGGCGTTTTGGCGTGGGGACACATCAGCTTCCCTGGTGGTTGAGTACCGTGCTAGCCACGTTCCCGATCTCTCAGCAGCAACTAGCGCTAACATTGGTTCCTGCGCCTTCATCTTCAATGGCACGTGTCAAATGAGTGGCAACAAGGAATTCTATAAATGCCTCCTCCGTGATTTGCTAGTGGCGCATCTGCGTATGGTTCGCATGGAGTAGCACGTGGGGTGGCAAAGTTTGAACAGCAACTGCAGGCGGCGGTCCCCATTTCGAAGTTGGGTGCGACATTGGTTCACAAAGACGTCCTTCGCTTGCTCAGCTTTCTTCACAGCTGAAGCCATTGGAACAAGTCACTGCATCAATTGACTTCAGCATCTTAGTAGCCTAAAAGTGTAGCCAGCACTTGCTGCTTGAGAGCTTGCATGAGCAGCTCCATATTTACTAATGCTAGATCAGAAACACGTCGCACTCTGCAGCTTATCTTAAGCCATCACTCGGGGAAAAACTGAAAAAACCAAAAAGGTTTCGGCGTTTGGGGCGGCTTTCAGGGGGGGTTCCAGGGAGTTCCCGATCCGGATACCACACGGGCTTAGGGAACCCCTGATTGCCCACGCCCTTGACTGCGCGGGTCCGACTCCTCAAAAAAAAAATCGACCGGCCACCCATATCTTCCGAGTTTGTTTCATATCTCCGCACACAACATATGTCTGGAAACCCCAGGAAACGTGAAAGGACTTCGTCGTTCGGCAAAAGTGCACGTGGCTGGGTGTGTCTCAAAAAATTTGGCCGTTGACCGGTGTTGGACCTCCAAAAAAGTAAAGAGTTCCTGTTGATAGTCCTGTTGGTTTCCTATGAAACCCAATGAAAAACCGGGCCTGGCGCCCAAAAAACACGCCCGTCTTGTTTGCCTCGGCGGCGACTCCTTGGGGTGCCCGGGGTCCCAGGCTGCCAAATGCTGGCACCCACCGACTGCAGCTGCTCCTGAGCCTCCGAAAGAGCCGAGGAGCCGCCCGGTTTTCCGCCGAAACGACGTTTGTTTCACTGGAATGGACTGGTTTTTGGGGGGGATTTCGGTGTTTTTTGCTCCTTGCTTTACCCAATACCACAACCTGTGTTTTTCTGTGTAAAGGGATTTCGGAGTTGTTTTTTCCTTGGTGTACCCATACCGTCCAGGTCAAGTCAAAGAGTTCTCTACTGAGTTGTGTTACTTGGGGACCCCCTGTTGGTTGGTCCTTTGGTTCTTTTTTGCGACCCAAAAGTGGGACTGACATCTATGAAGGTTGCACGGGTTTGGTCGTCTTATTTCAGCTCCCCTCAGAAAGGGTGGTTTGGAGCCGAATCGGTGGTTTGGAGGTTCAGGATGGTTTCCGACTTGCGCCTTACAAGAAACAGGGACCCGTTCAAATCCCCACACCACCCATCCAAGCCACCAACCAAGGGTTGCCTGATTATTTGGGGACCCCAGCTATGTCAGCTGTTCCGTTGGTAGCCCTTTGCGACCCAAAAGGGAGTGCCCCGGAAAAAAAAAATAAAAAAAAAATCACATGGTTATGAAGGTTCTATAGGGGTTACCATAAACCCTGCACCAGGTAGGAAGCGAACCACCGACTAAAATGGCCCTCAGCTTTTGCGAGGCTCAGATGGGAACGCACAACAATGGGCTCTTTAAAACCCGCAAAACGCCCTTAAAACCATGGCACGCCCACTCAACATTCAGCCCCCCGCGATCAAGCGGATTGGCCAAACAAGCCGACCCGAACTCTCTGCCTGCCACTAAAATTCAGCTTCCCTCAAATTGGTGGTTTCGATTGGTGGTTTCGATTGGTGGTTTCGAGGTTGGTTTCTCTTTCACCCTCTTCAAGAACCAGGCACCCGTTCAAATCTCCACAAACCACCAAGAGTTACCTAAAAAATTGCCCAAACCGGTTTAAGAAGTGACCCAAAAGTCTGGAAACTCGAAGGCTCAGAAGTCGGTGTCCACCAACATCCCCCCCCCAGCCTTGCCCGCGAGCTCCGACACCTGACGAACGAAAAGGAAGGGAACTCAGCTGCCCAAAGGACCCAGAACTCGAAGGTTCACCTTTTGGCACTAGCAACACTCGCTCGCTTTCTGCTCCCCGGCTAAAAGTGAATAACTTTTAGTGGTTTAATACGGAAAACCCGTTAGTTGGCCAAAAGCTAAAGTCCTAACATCCAAGCAAAATGCACCAAAGAACATCGGAAAACCCAAAGGTCAAAAGGTCGGCTTTGGACAAGCGAGGGAAAACTCGGGCTGCGCCCAAGTCTAAGAAGTGCCCCGAATGAACCTCCCCGGAACCCAGGACTCTCTAAGACCCCATAGCTCTCGCTGGTCACAGACATTCTTCGGGTGCAAAATGCCAAAAGGAGGGGAAAGCTGCCCGGCCCTGTCTTTACAGGGAATCAACTCATTCCAGGGTTTCTTAGGTTCCATCCACAGTAGGGATAGACCAACAAACCATGGTTTCCCATGGCTCCAAAGCGGTGCAAGATTGCGTCCACTTACAGTATCTCGTCCCCTGAATTCTCGTTCTCCATACCCAGAGGCTCCGATCGGCTTCGGCTTTCAATGGAAGACCCGACCCCTCCATTACACACCCCGAAGGTGGTTCTGGGTCTCGAAACCAGGTTGATTGAATCGGGAGCCTCTGGGTAGGAAAAATAACTGCGCAAGGAGAATGATTAAAAACAAAAAAGGCCCTCCCAAAAAATCCCGCAGTGAGAAGTACTCCTTCCCTTCCATGGGCACGGGTCCTTCCAGCCCGAAGCCCAGCCAGCCGGCACGTCAAGCCCAGCCAGGCGCCACTCTCACAAAGTCAAAGCGTCATTCCTCCACCAATTGGTTCTGGCCATTTGGCCCTCTGGCCAACAAGGTGCCGCCTCGTCGCGCAATGGCTCTGGCTTTTGCGGACCTGGAGCTTGTTGCGCCAAGCTTTCCGCAAATCCAAAAAATCCGAGAAAGCGAGGTCTGGGAGCAGCTGTTCAGCCTGCATCTGCTGGAAGATTCCATCCATCCACGCTGTCCGACTCCATGCAAGCCGACACCGACCAAACACTTCGTCTTCGCCTTTGCAGCGAAGTTGTAGCTCAACCTCGAACCCCCAGAAACGCTGGTACGATCGAGGACCAACAAATGAGTTGTTCGGGGTTCCTGTCATCCACTTGTCCAGTAGCTCTTTTGCCCCCTTGTTCGCAAGCCCGCCAATAACCATATGTGTTTCTCGCAAAGAAGAAAAACAATCTCTCGTGGTGGTTTTCGAAAGCATGGCCAAGAACAACCACGAAGGCCCCTGGGGCGCGTCTTCAAATTCGGGGAACCCCATGGCGGAGTCCGTTAGGTTCCTTTCAAAATACGGAAATGGTTATCTTCCAGGTGCTGCCCCACGCAAGAAAGGGTAACCCCGAAAGGGTAACCAAACATTAACCCCAAAGTAGAAGAAGGGTAACCCTTGGAGAAACAGTAACCCTGATTACTTGACCAGACTTAGACCACCTGCAAAAAAGTGAAACTGGTTGCCTTTTGAAAGGAAAAATGCAGGAAACCCCAAAAAATGCAAAAACAAATAATGAAAAGGTCCGCAAAGTCTGGCCATGTCTGGGGTGCTCTCACAAAATGGACAGGCCCATTCCAACGCCCAGGCCCGGTCTGCCTCGGTCAAGGGCTGCTGGGCCTGCTCCTGGTTTGCTCCACGCCAATTGAGCTGACAGGTTGCCAGAGTCAAAAGGACATGGCGGCTGTGTCTGACTCCCTCAGAACAGCCGGAAGCTCCCCCAATTGGACATGGTAGCTGTTTCTGACCACTCCCTCAGACTAACAGCCCACCACTCCCTCAGACTAACAGCCGAGTCAACGATCCTGGCAGCTTCCATCGAATCGCACAGGGGAGGGCAAAATAAGGGGCGCAACAAAAAAGAGGGGTACCCTTTGGGCTTCCATTTGCGCAAACCCGAAAAGCGTGCTCACAAAGAGAAGTACGAACAAAGTAGTGAGTCCACTTTATTGTTGTGCTACATTTGCATTGATTCCCCAATGTCCCTGACAATTGGACCATAGACTGCTAGACATTTTGACCGAGCTCTTTGTGGTTCCCATCCTGGGAATCCTTCACACATACCCAGGGCTCGCAAAAGACGTTCTATTGTGCAGCCCCCTACTAAAAATGAACAGAACCCATGAATCCTTCTCATGCTTACCACTTCCCCTTTGACGGGTTTTTTCTCTTCCCTTGAGAAGCAAACCCTTCTCCGCTTCGAGTCAGCTCTTCTCTTCATAGTCGGTGCCATGGTTACAAGAAGGGCACGAGGGAGTTCAGGGCCGGCTGGAGAACTGGATTTCTCATGGCTGGGCGTGGGGCCGGATTGAGTTCCCCTCCCAAAACCAAGAACCTGCACACCCTAAAAGAGATGCAGGAGGCCAAACCGTTGGTGAAACCAAGTCACTCAGATGGCTATGGGTCAACATAGGGGCCCAAAATGGGTTGCCCTGTGAAAAGGAAAGTAGACGAACACCTGCGTAAGCCTAGGTCTTGATTTTTGAGCCACACTCAGAAGTCTTGCCTCGGGGCTCGCTCAACGGTCTGGCATTCCATCTGGCTGTGTCAAACCAACCTCTGTCCCCCTCGTTGGCCCGCTCTTCGAGTGGCACGGATTGAGGGAATGACCAAACACAAACTGGGCAGTCCGTTTTCTGGTCCACTAAAAGTTCAAGTTGCGGGTTAAAGATCTGGGCTGTGACCAAAGGATTAGATGGGAAAAGTGACCCATGGTCATCTAGGTCCTGCAGTAGAGAGGTTAGAGCAAGGGTACCAACTTTTTCTGTAGTCTATTTCAGTAGGGGAACCCTCCCCAACAAAAGGTGAGAAAGGGCACCAATTGCTGGGGGACCTAGTCATTTGGGGGCCGAACGGAATGTTGATCAAGCCCCATCTAACAACCTGAGGAGCCGGATGGAAACCACCAAGTCAACCCGCTTGTGGCTTCCGTCCCCGTCCCCTTCCGCAAGGCTCGGACATTCCTCTTTTCTGGAGTTGGTACTGCGGTTGTCTGGTGTCCAAGGAAAACCAAGAGGAACCCCCTTGCGCCGTTTTTGGGGATCCAAGCTCAAAAAAAAAACACTCGCGTGTGTGTTTTTGGTGGGTAGTGGTAGTCCCGCCTTCAAGTTGGGCTTCCCCAACTTGTAAAACCCCAACTTGCCATCCCGGGGGGTCCGACCCCCACTAAACCCGCGAAAACCTGCGCCGCGTACATCCGTTCGCGAAAACGACGTCCTGCGCTCGCTCGAAGAGCTTCTGGGTCCCGCCCTTGGCCGCCGCCAGGGCGGCCAGGGAGTCGCGCCTGGCGGTCTGGCAGTGGGGGGGGGGGGGCTGGGCTTGGGGTGGGGGTCCAATGGGGGTCCAATGGGGGTGGCTCAAAACGGGGTGACAAAAAAATGGGTTGCCCTGAGCCACACCCAAATCTACACGCAGCTTGGAAACCCGGCAAACTGGTAAGGGACCGGGTTTTCAAACGGGCGAAGACGCGGATTCCAGTCAAAGTCGCACAAGGTCTTTTCAAACGCGCATGGGGATAGTTCAGTCCTGGAGGTCTCTCTTGGCTCCTTGAGCGGGGAAGATCGCTCCGCCCGTTGGCTCTCACGCTGGAACGCGCCTGAAGGTCGACAGGGTCTCCTCCGCCTGCCCGGTGACCTGGCGCCGTTGTCTCGATGAAGCCGGTGCCGTTTCTGGAGGGCAAATTTCGCAGGTGACTGGCCCCATTCTTCCACCAGAATCAAAGTCACCCCCAAGGAGTAGGTTAAAGGGAACCCAGCCCAGTTTGTGACCCCAGAAACAGTCAAATTAATGACCTCAGTGAGACCATCTGGGAACCGTGTCGGGTGAAGTTCCCCAATCTCGGGTGAAGGGCCCCTGAAGACACATGGCTGTGGCTCAAAAAACCGGTACCAAAATGGAACCCTTGGTAAGTGGAAACATGGACCAAAACTTGCGTAACCCCTCCTGTTCAATTTTGAGCCACACCCACATGCCCAAATTGTACCCAGAAAGGAAAAAAGGCGCCTGCGTTGGGGTACGCTGCACCTCCTCCCCGCCCCCTCCCCCACCCCCTCCCCCCGCCCCCACTGCATTTCCACTAAGGTCGCACAACGGGAATCTTGACGGTCGGTCGCATTGCTATTTGGCGCAAAAAATACTTCGCGCCCTAAGCCCCTTGCCAGCTAAGCTACAGCACCGCTGATTTTGGCGAGTGTTGGTCGTACTCTGGCTCGTTTCTGGGACAAAACAAAATGCTGGGGCGGCTGCTTCAGCTCTGCAACAAGCCCCAACCCCTTCATCTTGGGAGGTGGATTCTTTTTGGATTCTTTTTTTGGGGGGGAGGGGGATTCCTTATGACTCATGTCGACAGGATGTTGCAAAGGAGTGCCCCCACCGCTTTAAGCGATTTCGTCTTGAATCGGACACCCATCAAAATCAGCCTGAGGTTCTGCTTCATCCTGGGTTCCCATGAAATAGTTACCTCTTATGGTGGTTCCCATCTATGTCAACCCATTGATAAGCCCCTCCTATTCAGAGGGTGGCGGGGGCGCCACTAACCATCAGGAAAACGGAGCGATTCGGAAATTTTGGGGGGTCCAACCAAAGAGAACGATACACGCATTTGGTTCGAGATTTGGATTGGGCTCCCTGGATAGGTGCGAGCTCAAGCTGCTCGGCTTACCCCGGAAAACTCGCAAACCTCGCTCTAACTATGAGGCACCAGCCTGGTCCCTTGCAAAGGAAACGGTACATCATGCCCACACAATCATCATGCAAGGCTCATCCAACAAATACATAGACACGTGTGTGTATATATATATATGTATATATGGATATGTGTATATGTGTATAAGTGTATATATGTATATACGCATATACGTATATGTGTATATATGTATATATGTATATACGTATATGTGTATATGTGTATGTGTGTATATATGTATATATGTATAAATGTATATATGTATACATGCCTGTATGTATATGTGTGCATACGTATATGCGTATATACGTATATATGTGTATCTGTATATCTGTATATCTGTATATATGTATATATGTATATATGTATATATGTATATATGTATATATGCTTGTATGTATATGTGTGCATATATGTACATATGTCTATACATGCATATCAATATATATATATATATATATATGTGTGTGCATGCATATATATATATATACATATGCATATATACGCATGCCACCCGCCATGTCCCTATGCAGTTCACCGATTCCCGCGCCTCATCAGCACTGATGCTCCTCAACGCTTGGTCCAATGGTCCAACCCAAGCCACGCCCTACCCGCAAGCACTGTGATATGTCCACTAGGCCTTGTCTTGCAATAAAACCCGTGGCTTGTCTATGGCTTCCCTTTGAAAGCAACCTAGAAGGGAGTCCCTCCAAACCGACATACCTACTTCTCTGATACCAGGGCTGTTCCACATGCAGAGTTGGCCACTCTGATTTTCCATGTCGATTGCAAAGCTGCCAAGGGGGCCAAATCCTGTCAAAGCCCAAGGTAAGAATCTTGCGGATTGCCTTCGAAGAGCCCATGTTGGGAAGATCCAGGTCTATAGAAATCAGGATCCAAAAAGCCGCTCGTTTCTCTGGGAAAGAGTAGGTTTTGGCTGATGTTGAAGATACTCCTTGGGCAACTTGCCCATTCAAACACAAAGCAAACACAAGGTGCACCTGGGGTGGATAAAACCGGATTTGAATACTGGGATAAACCAAACTGGTGCAGGAGTTTTCCTGGAAACGCCGTGGATTGAGGGAGCAACGAGCTCAAATGAACAATATCAAGATGACGAAAATGGTCAAACTCATAATTTCTCACTCAGCGTCCCACCCGAAGTTAGTTAGCCTGAATGCGAACTATGTCCACAGAAATTCCAACGCGTGGCCCAAGAAACCTGCCAGGCGAACCAACAAATCTTCGCTGTCACAAGCTTATTTCGCCAGGACGCGGAGGATTGGGTGGGCAGAACTCCCTCAGTGAGATCTCCAGGGCCCCATGGTCCATCCATGCTTGATCGGGATATAGAAAGCCCATGGGCCAAGCAGCTGGGGTTGAAGTACAATTCCAGGGGTACAGTCCAACCATTCTTTCCAGGGATCCTTTTTTTTTCAGGAAACCATCAAACATGCAGGGAAGCCGCTGGTGATTGAAAAGAACGATGGTTGAAAAGAATGGGGAATCAACCCCTAGAACAATAGGAATTGGGAGCCCCAAAATGGATTTCGGTATCCTTTTGGTGTCCCTTTTGCTCACTTCCGATCGAGTGGATTGCCAAACTTGTTGCTTGCCACTAAAATGGTCCAAGCCCAAACAGGATAAAGTCCAGGAACTCAGGGAGTGAGCTTATATGTAAACCATCCCAAAGAGGGTGCCATCCGCATTAAAAAAAAAAAAAAACGAGCCACCCATATCCCTTGAGCCCCCGGTTTTCCCCATGTCCACGTATGGGGCGGCAAAATCACCTATCCCATGATACCCCAAAATTAACCTTGTCTTCCATGTGCAGTTTCGTCCCGTTGAGAAAATATGTCTAGTGAAATCGATTCCCTTAAAAACCAACAGGGGAAATTGTGCACGGGTAGATCTCCCTCTACAATAAGACCGTACCACATGGCTGTGTGCTTAACGGACCCACTTCGGTCTTCGTGTTGATCTCCTAAGCCACCAAGAAGGTACCCCCAAGAAAAAAGGTACCCCCCCGAACAAGAGATACCAACAAAAAATACAAATAAAAAAGAACAACAAACGTACCCCCATGTACCCCCCAACAAGACCCCACGAAAAATCAGGGGAAACCCAAGGGATCGAATTTCACCCCCAAAGCCCGGGGCGGCTTCCGCGCGCGTTTCTTCCGTCCTCACGGCCTTCACCACATTGTCCACCTGGCTGGCCGCCCGCGCCGCGCGGTCCACCTCGGAGGTGGAAATGTGTGGCGCGCGCTCGGCGGGCGCGCGCGCGCGCGCCGAGGTTTTTTGTTTTTTTTTTGGCTTTGGCCTGAGCCCAAGGGCGCCATGTGGGGTTTTGGTGTACTTTGATTGACCTTGGCTTGAGTGTAAGGGCGCCATGTGGGCTTTTGGTGAACTTTGATTGACCTTCCAGCCAAACCTTTTTGAACCTGAGCAGATTTTGTGGGATTGGCGTCACAGGCCCAAGGGCGCCGTGTGGGTATGGCTCAAATTTAAAGAGCTACGGTTACGGAAAGGGGGGGGGTTGGTGATGGGGGGATGGAGGGCGATGGGGGGGATGGGGGGGGATGGGGGTACACAGGTTTTAGTCTTTGGTTCCATTTACCAAGGTGCCATTTTGGTATTTTTCTTTGTGGACACTGGAAGGGGAGCAAACATTTAAATCTGAGCAGATTTTGTGGGGATGTGCCACAAAATCACAATAAGCGAAAATGTGAGATGTTTCCCAACAACAACCATGTTTTGGTGAACTTTGATTTACCTTCCCTCGAGAAGAGGTTCAAATCCAAATCCAAACCAACTAGGGGTTGCCTCGTATACTCCCCCAGCCTTTTCACGTGGAACCTGACGTTCGGGACCTGGTCCCTGTGAAAGCATGTCCAAACCAGGACCCCCTGAACGTCAGGTGCAATGTTCATTGGTGGGAGGGTGACTGGGCTGTCCGATTTCTGATGCCCTGCTAAAAGTGAATCCCTTGTTGCTGAAATTCGGAAATGAAGCACTAAACAATAAAAAGAACTAAAAACCTAAGGGGATGGTTGGGAACCACTAAGTTCAGAGAGGGCCCCTTGAGGGAAAAGGGAAAAACCCTCAAAAGAGAGGACTAAGGCAGTTGAACAGCTGTTGAGTCCGATCCCAAAGAATCAAGGGTGGGGCGATTCAGCCCCTCTCTCTCCTTCTCTCTCCACACAAGGAACATAGGACCCAATTATGTGTCCCCCAGGGTTTCCCGCAAACGAACAGGGCCCCCTAATAATAAAGATGTGTTTTCTTTTTCTTTTTCCGGGGGACCAGCTTATTGTTAGGGGGACCGTTTTAATATCAGGGCAACAGGACTAAACCTTCAACTAATCTACTTGGCTTCAGGGCTGCTTGTTTAAACAGATCTTGCCCAAATTTCGGGGCCTTTTCAAAGGTGGTGTTTTTTCACTAGTTGGGCTACAACCTCTCAGAAAAACCCGAAATACTCTATTGTCTTAAGGCTGAGGGCGGGCTGAGGGTGTTTAGAAGTTCTTCATGGGTAAAGGTCGGCTTGCCAGTTTCGGGGGTAAACTTTGAGCCATAAGAAACAAGAAAACAACGGACCCCCAAACAACTCGGGATCCCAACAAAAGCTCGGGATCGACAACTTTGACCCCCACCCCCCCCCCACCCCCCCCCCCAAAAAAAACAAAAAAACAAAAAAAGGAAGCAACACACACACACAAGAAAAAGAGATTAGAAAAAAAGGGGACGGCGCCGGGGGCGTTCTCTTCGCATAAGCCTCCCGGCCCAGCCGGGAATGCGCCGCAGGCCCAGCTCGCACAGCAGCGCCTGGGATTCGACCGACGGATCGCTCCCCGCTCCGACGAATCCTTCGCCGTACGAAGGGGAGCTTCATATGGCGGGGTCGAAAATATGTACCCCAACATATGAGGGGTCCTAACTCTTAGAGGATAAAGAGGAAATAAGTAAAGGATCAGCAAAACCAGGTCCTATCTACCCAGGGACTCAAAATGCTCCTCAAATGGCTGTGGAAACGTCAAAAATAAGGTACCCCCAAATGGGTTGCCCTGGGAAGTGGAAACATGGACCAAAACTTGCGGTCCAATTCCTGGTGGTTTAATTTTGACCCATCACCCGGGTAGATAAAGGTAAAATAATAATCCCGGCAATCAATGTCGGCCGCCTTTAAATAGAGAGTTAGGAGCCCTCTAAGGGAATGACCCAGGGGCCCGGGTGTTGGATTCGAATGCAGCGGTTTTGGGGGGATTCCCAAAAGAAGGAAACCAGAAGAGGTTTCTGGGTAGCTTGCCCTCTCACACAGAATTCCCTCAGATCTCGATCTCCAGGCAATCCGCATGGTCCATCCATGTATCGGGCTATAGAAAGCCCAGAAAAAAAAGACCGAAACAGCTGGGCTTGAAGTGCAATTTTCAAATTCCAGTCTTTCCAGGGATTATTCTTTTCTTTTAGAAAACCACCGGAAAAAACCTGGGAAAACAGCGAGCGGTTTTTTTTTGGAAATGACGGTGGTTGAAAAGAATGGGGAATCAACCCCTAGAACCCCAGCAAAAGCCGAGGTGTTGTTTTTTGCCGGGTGCGTGGAAAACAAAGGGGGACCCCAAGCAAAAAATAAACGAGAAGGGGAGCTCAGTAGGGGCCCTGAGAAATGGAATGATATTGAAATGAACCATGTAAGGGAAGCCTGGGTTCATTCCCTCATCCCTATCGCACCGGCAAGTCATGGGGAGTGTGGATCTCTGCGGTTGGCTTATTGGATCTGTCACCTGGTGGATCTCCGCTTTTGTGGTTTGGGATCTCCCCCGTTGCTTGGTGGCTCTTTTTCCTGGATCTGTGTGTTTTCTTTCGTTCACCCTTGTGGATATGTATTTGTGTTGATTTTGTTTAACAAAAAAAAAACGTGCCAATGCTTTGTTGGATTGTTGTGGATTTCTTTGTGAATCTTGCTTGTTCTTTTTTCCGGATGCCTGGTCCCTTAGTACTCTTGTATCATTTCATCCGCTCCACATTTCTCAGGGTCCTTCGACCATATCGCGGGGATCCTGGGCTTGATCACCTCCGGTTCCTCCAGTTCCGCCGGCACCGACAAAGCCCCGCTTCCGCTTTGCCCGAGGCTCGAAGGCCCAAAATGGGAAGCAGAAGGCAGATGGCTGTGGCTCACAAAACCGGAATACCGAAATGGCGTGCCCTGGGTGGAAACATGGGTACCAAAACCTGCGGTTTGCCCCGATCGTTTAATTTTGAGCCACACCCAAATCGAGATAAACGGCGGCTGTGGATGTGGACCGGGGCCATGGGGGTCTTGAGTTCAACCCAGACTTCCGCTCGCCCCACTTCAACCGCCGAACACCGAGAAGCAGCCCCCACTCCACCAAAAAAAAAACAGGCCACACCAAGAAGAAGCCCCTGAGGCTCGCACGTTGCAGAAGGAGAGGCAGTTGTGATGAATCAGATCGTAGTCACCTCCCTGCCTCGGTCGGGTTGAGCCAAATTGAATTCGCCTGGATCCATTCACCCATATTCGCCCTAATCGATCCGCAGGTTGCTAAAATCGAAAGGAAACAGAAGGACTTCCCAACCCGTTGCCCAGTGGCCACGTGGAAGGCCTGATAAGTGGTCCGAATGAGTGCTGCTCCGAAATGGCTAGAGATTCGCAAACAGCTTCTACCCAAAGCTTGGTCGTCTTTTAACGGATAGACACTGCCAACTCAAACCCTCAACTGGGAGTCCGCTCTTAGAAAAAAGAATCGGTTCACCCAGGATGCTCTTTCTTTCTCGAAAGAGGGCATCTCATCCGGAAAAGGGGTTTGTACCGGCGGGAACATGAGAAAACATCACGTCTGAAGCGTGAATCCCAGAGCACTCAGTCTTTGTGGGCAGGGCCCCCCTTCACAATTCAGCTTCCTTGCAGGATTCATCAACTTGTCAGACTCTTAGCCAGGTTGCCCCCAAACAGTGAAAGAGTCCATTTACTTCACGTGGGACGCTCTTTTTAAGAGAGGTTCCTGAACTCCAGGGCTAACCATCGATTGACGTGTCTTCACTTTTCAGTTTTCCCATCACCAAAGTGGACAGACTACAGCATTGCGGCTCGGACTTGTGGTTTGGAAGTGTCCCTGGGGGCACCCAGTAACCCAAGGATTTCTTTCGGGACGGTGTTTTTTTCTGTTATTCCGCTTCTTCCGTTTCTTTTGTTGTTGTTCTTTTGTTTGTTTCTTCCGGTTCTTTTATTATTGTTCTTTTGTTTTTGTGTCTTCCGTTTCTTTTATTATTGTTCTTTTGTTTGTTTCTTCCGGTTCTTTTTTTGTTGTTCTTTTGTTTGTTTCTTCCGGTTCTTTTATTATTGTTCTTTTGTTTTTGTGTCTTCCGTTTCTTTTTTGTTGTTCTTTTGTTTGTTTCTTCCGGTTCTTTTATTCTTGTTCTTTTGTTTTTGTGTCTTCCGTTTCTTTTATTATTGTTCTTTTGTTTGTTTCTTCCGTTTCTTTTATTATTGTTCTTTTGTTTTTGTGTCTTCCGTTTCTTTTATTATTGTTTGTTTTTGTGTCTTCCGTTTCTTTTATTGTTGTTCTTTTGTTTTTGTGTCTTCCGTTTCTTTTATTATTGTTTTGTTTTTGTGTCTTCCGTTTCTTTTATTATTGTTCTTTTGTTTGTTTCTTCCGTTTCTTTTATTATTGTTCTTTTGTTTTTGTGTCTTCCGTTTCTTTTATTATTGTTCTTTTGTTTTTGTGTCTTCCGTTTCTTTTATTATTGTTTTGTTTTTGTGTCTTCCGTTTCTTTTTTTATCGTTCTTTTGTTTTTGTGTCTTCCGTTTCTTTTTTTGTTGTTCTTTTGTTTGTTTCTTCCGGTTCTTTTATTATTGTTCTTTTGTTTTTGTGTCTTCCGTTTCTTTTATTATTGTTCTTTTGTTTTTGTGTCTTCCGTGTCTTTTATTATTGTTCTTTTGTTTTTGTGTCTTCCGTTTCTTTTATTATTGTTCTTTTGTTTTTGTGTCTTCCGTTTCTTTTATTATTGTTTTGTTTTTGTGTCTTCCGTTTCTTTTATTATTGTTCTATTGTTTGTTTCTTCAGTTTATTTTATGATTGTTCTTTTGTTTTTGTGTCTTCCGTTTTCTTTTTTTTTTGTTCTTTTGTTTTTTGTGTCTTCGTTTCTTTTATTATTGTATGTTTTTGTAGTCTTCCGTATTTTTATTATTGTTCTTTTGTTTTTGTGTCTTCCGTTTCTTTTATTATTGTTCTTTTGTTTGTTTCTTCCGGTTCTTTTATTATTGTTCTTCTGTTTTTGTGTCTTCCGTTTCTTTTATTATTGTTCTTTTGTTTGTGTCTTCCGTTTCTTTTATTATTGTTCTTTTGTTTTTGTGTCTTCCGATTCTTTTATTATTGTTCTTTTGTTTTTGTGTCTTCCGTTTCTTTTATTATTGTTCTTTTGTTTTTGTGTCTTCCGTTTCTTTTATTATTGTTCTTTTGTTTTTGTGTCTTCCGTTTCGTTTGTTTTTGTTTGTCCGTGTTTGTGTCTTCCGTTTCTTTTATTATTGTTCTTTTGTTTTTGTGTCTTCCGTTTCTTTTATTATTGTTCTTTTGTTTGTTTCTTCCGGTTCTTTTATTATTGTTCTTCTGTTTTTGTGTCTTCCGTTTCTTTTATTATTGTTCTTTTGTTTGTGTCTTCCGTTTCTTTTATTATTGTTCTTTTGTTTTTGTGTCTTCCGATTCTTTTATTATTGTTCTTTTGTTTTTGTGTCTTCCGTTTCTTTTATTATTGTTCTTTTGTTTTTGTGTCTTCCGTTTCTTTTATTATTGTTCTTTTGTTTTTGTGTCTTCCGTTTCGTTTGTTTTTGTTTGTCCGTGTTTGTGTCTTCCGTTTCTTGTATTTATTGTTATTTTGTTTTGTGTCTTCGTTCTTTTATTATTGTTCTTTTGTTTTTGTGTCTTCCGTTTCTTTTTTTGTTGTTCTTTTGTTTGTTTCTTCCGGTTCTTTTATTATTGTTCTTTTGTTTTTGTGTCTTCCGTTTCTTTTATTATTGTTATTTTGCTTGTTTCTTCCGTTTCTTTTATTATTGTTCTTTTGTTTTTGTGTCTTCCGTTTCTTTTATTATTGTTCTTTTGTTTTTGTGTCTTCCGTTTCTTTTATTATTGTTCTTTTGTTTTTGTGTCTTCCGTTTCGATTGTTTTTGTTTGTCCGTTTTTGTGTCTTCCGTTTCTTTTATTATTGTTCTTTTGTTTTTGTCTTCCGTTTCTTTTATTATTGTTCTTTTGCTTTTGTGTCTTCCGTTTCTTTTATTATTGTTCTTTTGCTTTTGTGTCTTCCGTTTCTTTTATTATTGTTCTTTTGTTTTTGTGTCTTCCGTTTCTTTTATTATTGTTCTTTTGTTTTTGTGTCTTCCGTTTCTTTTATTATTGTTCTTTTGTTTTTGTGTCTTCCGTTTCTTTTATTGTTGTTCTTTTGTTTTTGTGTCTTCCGTTTCTTTTATTATTGTTCTTTTGTTTTTGTGTCTTCCGCTTCGTTTGTTTTTGTTTGTCCGTTTTTGTGTCTTCCGCTTCTTTTATTATTGTTCTTTTGTTTTTGTGTCTTCCGTTTCTTTTATCATTGTTCTTTTGTTTTTGTGTCTTCCGTTTCTTTTATTATTGTTCTTTTGCTTTTGTGTCGTCCGTTTCTTTTATTATTGTTCTTTTGTTTTTGTGTCTTCCGTTTCGTTTGTTTTTGTTTGTCCGTTTTTGTGTCTTCCGTTTCTTTTATTATTGTTCTTTTGTTTTTGTGTCTTCCGTTTCTTTTATTATTGTTCTTTTGTTTTTGTGTCTTCCGTTTCTTTTATTATTGTTCTTTTGTTTTTGTGTCTTCCGCTTCGTTTGTTTTTGTTTGTCCGTTTTTGTGTCTTCCGCTTCTTTTATTATTGTTCTTTTGTTTTTGTGTCTTCCGTTTCTTTTATCATTGTTCTTTTGTTTTTGTGTCTTCCGTTTCTTTTATTATTGTTCTTTTGCTTTTGTGTCGTCCGTTTCTTTTATTATTGTTCTTTTGTTTTTGTGTCTTCCGTTTCGTTTGTTTTTGTTTGTCCGTTTTTGTGTCTTCCGTTTCTTTTATTATTGTTCTTTTGTTTTTGTGTCTTCCGTTTCTTTTATTATTGTTCTTTTGTTTTTGTGTCTTCCGTTTCGTTTGTTTTTGTTTGTCCGTTTTTGTTTGTCTTCGTTTCTATACATTATTGTTCTTTTGTTTTTGTTGTCTTCCGTCTAGTTTCTTTTATTATTGTTCTTTTGTTTTTGTGTCTTCCGTTTCTTTTATTATTGTTCTTTTGTTTGTTTCTTCCGGTTCTTTTATTATTGTTCTTCTGTTTTTGTGTCTTCCGTTTCTTTTATTATTGTTCTTTTGTTTGTGTCTTCCGTTTCTTTTATTATTGTTCTTTTGTTTTTGTGTCTTCCGATTCTTTTATTATTGTTCTTTTGTTTTTGTGTCTTCCGTTTCTTTTATTATTGTTCTTTTGTTTTTGTGTCTTCCGTTTCTTTTATTATTGTTCTTTTGTTTTTGTGTCTTCCGTTTCGTTTGTTTTTGTTTGTCCGTGTTTGTGTCTTCCGTTTCTTTTATTATTGTTCTTTTGTTTTTGTGTCTTCCGTTTTTTTCTTTTTATTGTTGTTCTTTTGTTTTTGTGTCTTCCGTTTCTTTTATTATTGTTCTTTTTTTTTGTGGTTTCCGTTTTTTTATTATTTTCTTTTGTTTTTGTGTCTTCCGTTTCTTTTATTATTGTTCTTTTGTTTTTGTGTCTTCCGTTTCTTTTATTATTGTTCTTTTGTTTTTGTGTCTTCCGCTTCGTTTGTTTTTGTTTGTCCGTTTTTGTGTCTTCCGCTTCTTTTATTATTGTTCTTTTGTTTTTGTGTCTTCCGTTTCTTTTATCATTGTTCTTTTGTTTTTGTGTCTTCCGTTTCTTTTATTATTGTTCTTTTGCTTTTGTGTCGTCCGTTTCTTTTATTATTGTTCTTTTGTTTTTGTGTCTTCCGTTTCGTTTGTTTTTGTTTGTCCGTTTTTGTGTCTTCCGTTTCTTTTATTATTGTTCTTTTGTTTTTGTGTCGTCCGTTTCTTTTATTATTGTTCTTTTGTTTTTGTGTCTTCCGTTTCGTTTGTTTTTGTTTGTCCGTTTTTGTGTCTTCCGTTTCGTTTGTTTTTGTTTGTCCGTTTTTGGCGGTTCGCCGTGTGCATCGCCGACGACGGGGCCCCCGCCCTATCCGGGGATATGTGTCTGAAATGAGGGGAAGGAAACCAGAAGGGAGCCCGCTTTACAAGCATGGTCAAAATGTATCCGTGACAGGGAGGGCTGGAGGGCTTCTGGATTGCGCAGGTAGGTCCAACTGGAGGTTCAGGTCCTTCGCTTTTTCCGGGTTCTTCAACGCTTGACCAGGTCCTCCAGTCGGGAACTCCCACTGAGGCGCGCCAGATCGCTTTCTGCCAAAGATAGTTCAAACCCAGAGCGCAGCTCCAGATTCTCCTTTTGGGCTTCCCCTTTTCACTCTATCCAAGATGTCCCTTTTTCACTCTCCTGTTGGGCTTCCCCTATTCTCCAGATGTCCCTTTTTCAGCTGAGCCCAACTGGCTTCCCATTTAGGGCCTCAAACCAATCCAATCCAAACCACCCTGTTCCGTTTTCAGGATCCCTTGCTGACAGTCAAGCAGTTTAGTGGAAACTACCACTAAACCAAACCAAGAAGCTCACAAAAACCTTTCCGGAGCCGGATGGCTGCTTGACCCACCAAGAGTTCAAGAGTTCGAGGCTTACCTTGGCCTTGGGTCACCCGCTTTTTGCGGGAGTGCCTTCCTACTCGACTCGATTTGTCCCCCGAATCTGCACCAAAACGGTCCCAAAAACGAAGCGACAACGGATCCGAGGCGGGGACCAATCCGAGGCCATGCCTCGGCGGAGGTTTTCTTGATGCTCCGTTTGAGTCAAATAATCAAGACCTGGAGATGACCAGCTTGGGCGTTTCATGTGGTGTTGGTTAAAACCTGCTTGGCCAACTGTGCTGACTACCAAACATCCCTGTTTTCTCATTTGAGCCATGATAAGAAAAAAGGTATTAAAATGGGCGCAATCCCAGAACCATGCTTCAAGAATTAAGAAGGCGGATATCCGCAACTATTTCTGGCTGGGACTGCCCCTTACTAACCCTCATCTGCCCAGGTTTTGATTGTGGCTCAAATGCCCTTCTTGTTTGGGATTGGTTTGGCATCAAACCCCCAGACACGTGAGCCGTATGCCTAGCCAAACTCTGCAACCGACCAGCGGGCACTCCTTCTGATTGGTGGTTTTGGAGCGCGGTGGTCCAGTGGTCCCTCTACAAAAGTCAGGGGTTCAAATCCAAATCCAAACCAGCAACTAGGGGTTGCCTGAACAACTTCATTCGCGAAATGCAAAAGAAATGGACCTCAATGGCTGAACTCCTGGGAGCGAAAATCATCTCTTCAGATTCTGGTTCAAATAGTTTAGTCAGCCTTACATCGTGTTTAAGGGCTTGTCTCTAAATGGGGAAGCCCCCAAAAAGGAGAGGTTCCCTTTGACCTACCCTTTAAAGCAAAACGCATCTTCCCTTTGCCTCAAAGACAAACAAAAGACGACCATATCAGCTTCCCTGCAACTGGTACCCTCCACAAGAACAAAGGCTTCAAATCCAATTTCAAACCGCCAGCCGGGCTCCAAACCACCAACTACGGGTTACCCGAGCATCAACAACAAAACCAAACGACCAGCCAAAAAACGAAAATCGACCTCAAAAGCAGAGGAAACCACCGCAGAAACTCCCCGAATGACCCCAACTTTTAGCGGTTTCGTTCGGGAAAAAAAAAACATTAGTTGGGTGTGGGTCAAAAATAGGTACATAACCTGGGACCCTGGTAAATGGAAACATGGACTAAAACCTGCGGTCCCCTGGTGGTTTGATTTTGACCCATACCCAGTTGGCAAAAAAGTGAAAGTCCCAAAACATCCAAAAGGCAAAATTTTCACCAAATTTGCTCCGCGCCGAAGGGCAAGCCAAAAGCCTCTGCACCTCCTCCGGCTTCTTCTCCGTGGCGCCTTTGCCGAGAAATGGCGAGGGGGGACTTCGTCGATTCGTCTGTCCTCCCCCGCCCCCGCCCCCGCCCCCAAACCAACAATCACAACACTGAAACCACACAACAAAGACCCCCCCCAAACAAAAAAACAAGAAACGCTAAAACAACAACAAAAAACATGTTGTCCTTGTCATCCACCCTGAAAGAGCACTCGAATTGGCTTACCCAAACTTTGTGGCCGTCCACCTCAGGGAGTGTGCGGAACAATGGCCCGTTTTTCTTGGGAAGGTCACCATTGTAGGGCGAGATTCTTTGTTCCACAGGGCTTCATTGGGCCTTTTTGCCAAGCCAAATGAGCTGAGGTGCTACTGAAAGGAAGCTTCTGGCCAGCTGTTTCATGTTCACCCCAGATCAACAAAACCACTGGTTCATTTTGATTGGGGGGTATTGCTTCTTAGTGGGTGACATGCCCCTAGGCAAGGTCAATTTTGCTTTGCGCATTCCCTCGTGTATGGCCATGGGAAATCGAGGAAGCCCCGCATCTCCCTCCCGAAGACTGGTCGAGCACAAAAAAATCAGACCAAACCTATGGCTGTGGCTCAAATAAACGAACCAAAATGGATGGAACCAAAGACTAACACCTGCGTAACCATAAGTCGTTAATTTTGAGCCACAGCCATATTGATGATTGAATTATGAGGGTCTTAAGGGGATGTAAGAGGGGGGGGTAAATGGGGGTTCCAACTGCCCCCTCCCCTTATACTCCCCTCCCTTAAGAACCATAATGAATTGTTGGATACCTCGATTTGTCGTTCTTGGCAAAACATCCAAAATCCCCAGTGGCATGCTTGAAAAATATCCAAGATGGACAAGGCTTGAACCTTGGACATTTGAGTGTGGTCCTTTTGGTCCCTACTCAATGCGTGCATACGATGTATAACAATTATTCTTATATAATCAAACAATATGCTTGAATACGGGCCGTGCCATTAAAACAAAAACATCTTCTAAGCTCTCCCGCTAGAATGTAACACGTCTTCTCACAAATTCCCAAAATATGTTTCCCCCTCCAAAAAAAAACGAACAGGGCTGTGGGAAATGGAATCCACTTCTGTGATACAACAAAAAGAGCCTCCCAAAGACTAACCCCCCATATAAAAAGGGGATTCCCTTGTATCACAGAAGTGGGGAAAAACCCCTTGATCCCACAACCCTGACAGCGAAGGATGCGCCCCTTTTTTGGGGAGACATCCCCGCCGAGACCAAAAATTGTTGGCCCTTGAATCAATACCCTCAGGTCCAAAGGGTGGGTTTCGGGCGAAACTTCAGACCTTTGGCGGATGAAACTCGGAGGCCCAACCACCAAAACGAGAAAAATTTATATTAAGAAAAGAAGAAAAAAAAAAGAAAAAAAACTACAAGCAACCACCTAAGGTCCAAGGGCCGGTTGTCATACCCCAGACATACCCCATCTATTAATTATTAGGCCGTAGCGGACAGATCTTGGGGTCCGTGCCCCGTATAGCCCATGTAAAACCGCTATGTTTCGTTGGTATGCCCATTTGGTCTATAGCAAGTTGGCCTTAAGGGCACGCCTGGGAATCTATTCTGGCTCCAAAACGGGAGCCTCAGCTTGAGTTCGATCTGTCGCATGACATCGCATCTCGCATGGGGCAGAAAGAATCTACCTACGAAATCCATTTCGCACCTAAGAAACTCAAGGATTCCCCGACGTAAAATGCCACCACACGTTATGGTGTCAACCATGGTGTCCAAGTGGTGCGAACACATTTCGTCCATTAACAGTATGTCGGATGAAGCCACTGGGCATGTTGACCATGGGTGAGCCCAAACGGGTTCCAACCAAAAAATGGATCCGGGAAGCTGCGCATGTCACGTGATCCAAGCAGGTTGGGGTCCCAACTTGTTGTCACAAGAACTTAGGTCAGCAACCATGGGTGAACCTTTCCAAGTAGAAGCAGCTTGTCCTTTATCGCAAGGTTGTTTATTTTCCCCACGTGAGGTTGTTAAAACAATCACTGCATGTGCATTTGCTACAAGAATGCCAAAACCTGAAACAAAGCTCAAGGTAAAAGGATTTTCATCTGGTGGGCTTGCTTTATCCCAGGGAGATATTGCAGCATCTCCGGTCCTGAACACATTGCCATAGATCCAACTCTTTTCTGGGCTGTCCTCAGATCCCCTGCGAAAGTTTAACTTTTTGTGGGTCAAATGGAAACCAAACCACTAGTCACTAAACCAACTACAAAGATCTAAAAAAAGGCTGAGGAACCGGATGGCTGGGAACCACCAAGTTAAGTTGCACTGCTGATTCCCCTGCTCAAACATACCTTTTCAAATTGGCCCGTGGAGAACCCTTCCCCCCCCCTCCCCTCCCCAGTTTTCTTGGGTGGTCAACGACGAATCCCTGGGTTCTATTGTCTTGTGCTCTCCAAGCAAGCGGAGGGTTCGGTCTCCGAGCTCCACTTCATTTGTCACAAGTTTGGCTCACCTGGGTATGTTCCCCGTGTTGAAGGGCCCCTTTTTTTGGGTTGGTTGAAAGGACAATTCAAAACAAGGGCTGTCCATTTTCAGACCCCCCGCAAGAAGTGATGCAAGGTGCAACCACGACTACAGACATCCAAGCATAGCAGGAGTCGTGGAAAACGGGCTGAGTACCGTCGTCCCTGGCCTTGCAATTGGCATCAATCGGCGTTGGAAGGCTCTCGCAGTCAGGAGCCGAATGCAGTACCACCAAGAGCGTGTTTGGCTGTTGCGACCTGCTTCATGGTCAACATAAGGTCGCTTCTTCTGCCTCTTCCGCCACCGTTTGTGTTCGTACACCCAGTTGCGCACCTGCATCAGCACAGCATGGTGCAGCGCAGCATGTCGCATGTGCAGCAAGGCCGCCGGAGTGTTTTGAGGCAGCACACATAGCATATTCTGCGTTAAATTTGGCTACAAGCCTTAGCTCAGGCATGGGGAGTGGGTTAAATTCGGAAACTACAACTAAACACAAACCAATGATCCCCTATTTTGATGCATACCCACTTGCTGATGCAGTGGTGAAGAAGTGATGGCCTGTGTAGTGGTGAATTTGACCCAAAATCTGACCGATATAGATTTCAGCCGGATATGTTCCCACGGCGACTTGAGCGCTCCCACATCATCAGCAAATCATGGTGAATCACCACTGACCACTCAACCCCCTTCCCCCTCCGGGGTCCCCTACCCATGTGGACAGTAGCGCGGTACCTGGTCCCATGCTGCCTCTTTGAAGATCCACCTTTGAAGGGAACCGAAAGGTTGTTGACCAGGGCTGTGGGAAATGGAATCCACTTCTGTGATACAACAAAAAAAGCTTCCCAAAGACTAACCCCCCATATAAAGGGGGAGATTCCCTTGTATCACAGAAGTGGGGAAAAACCCCTTGATCCCACAACCCTGTTGTTGACACATCGTTGGTTTTGAAGTTTTGACATGTTTGTGTTAAGGGACGGATCGCAAACGAGCAGATGACCATTTTACCCACGTACCAGCGTGCAGACGAGCAAAATGGAGGTGTCGAATTTCCAGCCAGTTGAACATGCAAAGTGTTGAACAGCGCAGAGGCTCCAAAAGCCCGTTCCTTGCAAGACTTGCATCAATTGGTTGAAAAAATAAAAAAATTTTATCAATTGGTTGATTTCTTTATACACCTTTTAGGCATCTCCCCTAAAAGAGCCAAAGGAATCTTGCAATTTTATGGATCTAGGTCAGAGGAATTTCCCCATGAACCTCAATAGATCTCCTTCGGCAGAAACGCCCCTATGGGGAAAATCAGCATTGGCCCTTGACAACCCTACCATGGATAACTCTGGGTAGCTCCGATACACTTCCTCTTTAAACGCAAAGCTTGGATACCCAGCTCCCTCGCAGCTCCCTTTCAACCAAAAACATGGGAAAGCACAGAGCCCGCGAGGTTTGAAAGGGGGAGCCCGGCTTCGTGCCATGTGCGGCCATTTGCAAGCCATGCCCGAAGTCTGGGGGGGGGGGCGTGCGCAGAGCAATGTATATAATTGTTGTGTGTGTGTGTATAGATGTGCACGTGTTTTTGAGGACTTCCTCCTCTTTAGGTCTGCTCAGTACCATTTGAAAATATAATATATATATATATATATGTATACACATATATATATATATATATATATTCATTATGAGTGTATCCTGTATCTCAAAATGCGGGCCCGTGATGTCACGCCGTGATGGCAAGCGAAACAGTAGTCACCCGTGCAAATCAAAGGCCAGGATTCTGGATGTTGACAAGGACACCTAAATGAAATCAGATCCATTGGAGCACACCCGAGAGCAAAACTCCCCACTTGCCCCACGAATTCACGTGACAAAACCAGACCCCGTTTTTCGTGGAGGAGAAACCAGCCAGGCAGCTAATTGCGCTCAAACCCCCAAAATGTCAAGCCCAAACCCGCCTGTGTTGGGGATGAAGCCGCGGTCTGACCTGGGGGCCACGGATGTCGAGGCATAACTCGACTTTGGCCAAGAAGGGAACTGGTTCCTTGTCACTAAAATGGTAGCCCAAAACAGGGATCCTTGCATTATACACCTGAACATTGCCTTGTCAATGGTGGTTTCCCTTTATTTTAGTGGAAATAGCCATGTTTCAAATGTGCAAAATGTTTTTTTGGGGGAGCCCTGCAAAACGGCACGTCCAAGCGCGAAAGGGCGAAAGCCAAGAAATCACAAAGGCTTAAGAACCTTTGCGAGTTGCAACCCCTCGTGGCGGTTTCGTGTTCCAAGAGAGCCCCCCACACCCCAATCAACAAAACAAAGACCGCAAAAGAAGTGTGTGTTTTCCTGTTGGCTTCCCTGTAAAGACCAGCCCAAAAACATGTTTTGGCCCCTTGGGATTCAGACCACTTTTGGAGGGGGGAACCTCCCCCACCCTATTCATAGGGCGGGGTCTATTTAGATCCGAAATCCGACTTTGAGAACCCTCGGACACAGACTGAACCTCTGAATTTCAACACCCTGGACCCTTTGGGTTTCCCTTTACCCGCCAAAAATGAGGTACCAGCAAACCACGGAACCCCCCCCCCCGAGAACAAGGGCTCCCCCTTCTCGCCGCTGAGTTTCGGAGGGCTGGGCGCCGGACCGCGCCGACTCCGGTGCGCCCTGGCCTCGGGGTGGTCGCGTCTTCGGCTTCCGATGGAGACTGGCCGAAAAAACGGAAAAGGCAGCCAAACCCAAGAAGTGGAACCACAAGTGGAACCGAAAAATGAGCGAGCTGGTTCGCAAGTGGAGCCGAAATAGTTTGTTCACTAAGATGGGAACCAAACCCAAGAAGGGATCCAGGTCCGAAACGGAACTCAGGTTTCGGACAGGAAGGATCAAGGAAGAACGAACCACGAGAATGGATCAATATTTAATGAGTATCAACTAGACCATAATCATGAGTCATGACCAAATATGGTTCTGAAGTGAACACCATTCTAATGAGATTGAAACGGCCTTTTGTAGTATCCCCAGATGGCAACCGGGGAACCGTTCCGGAGCCATTCCGGAACCCCTGCGGAACCCCACGGAAAATGATGTGCTCAGATTCTGCTTCATATGTCGTGAATGTCAAAATCTAAGATATTTGTGGGGGGAGAGCTCAGCAAAGGAGACTGCGGACAAAAGAAAAATGTTCAGAAGTCTAAAGGGGAACCCTACAGTCACAGGCATGTTGGTAAAATGGGTCGCTCTGGTACATGAAATAAAGCCCATCGTGGCTTTCTCAGCTACGTCTAGCTCACTTTCCGGGGAGCCCAACAGGAGTCGGATTCGATTCTGGTGGGTTTGACTCGTGGCTGCAAGCTGGGGTTCAGAAATGCACCAGTCAGCAAAGAATGGCTCCACCCAAGTTCCGCTTCAAACACTCGTCTACCTTTTGGGATCAAAACATCTGGGTGAATTCTCATATGCGACCAACCTGAAACTTGCGGTGCTTGGGGGGCTCCCCACATCATCCATTTGGGGTGAATTCGCTCGTGTGAGATGTCGTTCTACTTCACCGGAGAAAAAGATGGGGGTCCGACCCCGACTCCGATCCTGGCAGGGTTCAAGGTCTCGAAGCCATCCCAAGCCCGAGAAATGGCCCCGACCGAACGGGCGCTGGTTCCACAAAAACGTCTTCCGCCTTTCGTAGGATCCAAAGCCTCTAACCCCCTCCCTCAAAATTCCCAAATGGGAAACCATACGGAGTGGTGTGGACGCTTACCGTACTTCAGCATGTCAGCAGCATGTCCCTGATGCGACCCTCTCTCTCTCCCTCTGTCTCTCTCTCACGTCCCAAAGCTTCGGGCACAGTCGCACCGTAGCACCACTCCCTCCCATAGACCTGGCACAGCGCTCTCGGACCCTCGAGGGGGCAGCCTGGGGAGTCCTACAAAAGAGGTGGTCCTTGTTCTGCTCCTACAGGCTGAGCCACAAATGGCCATAGGGCCATATGCTCATTTGTGGTTTGTCAACATGCTAAACTGACTTGATAAAGCGCTCGGCCAGTCAGACAAAACGGCCAGGTACAGCACAAAGCTTCGCCAAGTGCGGGCTCGATGCCTTGGGATCCAGTGAAATCCGGCCAGCGAGTTGGGCGGTCTCTGATGTTTGCCTCGGATTCATCCGGAGAACCCAGTTAGGCAGCAAAAAAACCCTTAAAATCAAGACGTTCTTGCTCAAAGGGTCCCGAACCACCCCTCATTACGGTCCTCTGAAGCAATCCCAAGTTGACATGTACGTCTGTCATTTTTGAGAGTACCCTTTGGTTGGGTCTTTTCAAAGGGATTTTCAAAAGGAAAACCGCCAGTTTCCGGGGGTCCACCAAAAAAACACACACCCAAATGGCTTGGGCACTCCTATTTTGAGAGCCCCCGATCACCGATCCGCCGAGATGGATCGATCGGCCGCGTCGACACGCGCTAAGATCCACAAGATTCAAGAGAAGGTCCAATACGGTCGCTTGAAGTTCTGCTTGGCGCAAGTTAGAAGATGAAACCCCCACAAACACCCTCGCACTTGCGGACCAACGATTCGGGACGATCGGATCATCTCGACGGGAAAGTGAGTATCAGGTGCTTTTGGCGGGGACCCGCCAAAATGGTTGGTTTTCCTTTGGTTTCCCGCGAGAAAAAAAAAAAAGAGGAAACAAAAAAAACCCAAGAAAAGGTACCCTTAAATAAAAGACACCTAGGTATAGTTCGCACAGGTTTGGAGCTGTTTTCAGCAAATGGGTGGGCCGGTGGGCCACAAAGAGGTCCATGCTCCAACTGATTGTTTCTCACTAGGGAAACGGCTTCAAAACCATGCAGCACGCCACAGCGACGCTCGCTCCAGGGACAACAGCGATCCGCATTGCCTCAATTCCGGAAAAATATTCGACCCGTTCGCACGCCATCTCTTCGGAATCGCCAACTCATACATGTGTTGGTGTGTCGCCTGGAATATATGCCAAGGCACTTCAAGGGAGGGCAGAAGCTCCCCAAGACGTATGGGTTTGAACTGGAGAATCTACATCAAACCCATCCGAGGGCTTCGAACAGATCTTGAATGCTTCCTTTCCCGCAGAAAGGCTCATTGAAGGATCGAGGACCTAACGTACGCTTTTCGCATGGCTGCCTTTTCGTTGGGTTTCCGTGTGGGCCCGCTTCTGATCGTCTGCAACCAACCGAACCAAGCTAGTAAGTGGACTTTCTGAGTTGTAGTCCACTTATTATTGGGTTAGCTCAACTTAGGGGACTTACATGCTGGGTTATGACCTAGCTTACTAACTTACCAACCTGGCCGAACGCCAAAGCAAGGCATAGCCCCGCCTCCACTCCCGCGTGAAACACTCCTGCGCGGGTCTCCGCGAAAAGCGCTAGGCCTCACTTTGATGCTCAAAGTGTAGGTTATTGCTACTGTGGGTGGTTGCGAAATCTTGCACCGCTTTGAAACCAAGGGAAACCATGGTTTGTTGCCAGGGTTTCTGAACCATGTACCCTCCGCAAAAGCCAGGAGTTCAAAGCCCCCAAAGCCAACTAAGCCCTGTCCCACATGTCTGACCTGCCTATGAGTGTGTCAAGCAGGGAATGGAATTGACGGCCTTTAATTTTGGGACAATCTGACATGTCCAATAAATACCTGGCAAAGGCCTAGGGGAAGCTTCCCCCTAGACTTCTGTGCCAATCTCCACCCTTGGCCCCTTTAAACGCATAAAAACACCCAAGCCTGGCTGGTTGAAAGGCAAAATTTGCACCTTCCCGTGGGTTTCGGCAATGGTATGGAGTAACGGCTTGCTCGGACCCTAGACCTGGCCGCACCAAAGGTGGATGGGCTCAGATCCCCCAGGTACCGAAAACCTCAAAACCTGCGGCTGCAACTTCCGGAAGGCAACTTTCAGAAAGCTGCGGCTGACAAGTTGCGACTGAGAGCGCCATGGTTGCATCCTGTCCGACAAAGAGAAGGAGAAAGCCCAAGTACCATCTTCCTTCATAATCCTCGAGACAACAACTGCCCAGGAAATGCGAAGTGACCTTGACTAAACATGGACCAGAATGGGAAAACCGAAGCTGCACCAAAGGTCACCTGGCATTCTAAAGTTTAGTCAAGGTCACCAAAGTGGTCACCAAAGTCACCTTGACTAAACCCAAAGTCACCATTCTAAAACCAAAAGGTCACCAAAGTTAGTCTCTTGGGTCACAGAAAGGCCACAAACCACTCAAATTCGTCTACTACTAGGCTGTCCTCAGATCTCCTGCTAAACGTGGCTGACTTGTGAGTAAAATGGACACCCAGCCACTAAACCAACCAAAACACCTTTAAAAAACCTGAGGTTGAGACCAGCATTTGGTGGGCCCCATCCTTGGCCGGCAGGGGGGTGATCATTCCATTCCGAGAAGCCCTGACTGCCTTCCGAACCGTTTCTAGCCCCAAAGGTTTCATGGGATCAGGCGCTGTACAGCCACTATTCTAGGGGGTGATTCCCCATTCTTTCTATCCATCGTTCTTTTCAAAAACCAGCTATTTTCCCTGGGTGTCCGGAGGATTTCTAGAAAGAAGGATCCCTGAAAAGAACGAGAAAGGTACCCCTAGAACTATACAAAATGTACTTACCCCGTTGAAGTCTTTGGGAAAGAATCCAAGAGACACACCTGTGCCCCTCCTCCAGCTAGGACCGTGTCGTCAGCGGTGAAGATGCGGTTCACCCTCTGGATGACTTCACCTGAGTCAGAATCAAAGTCTGGTACCTTCCCAAATTCAAACATGGACCTGCAAGGGACCCCCTCTAGGAACCTCTTTTCAGGTTCCATGTTTGTTGGTACTTCAGGGTCCACTCCAAACCCATAATAATGGGAGCATCCATTTCTCCCCTGCAAATTAAGATGCAAACCCAACAGACATCCCCCAACAGAGCTGCCCCCATGCATGGATGGTTTGCACAAGCAATGCCAATATGGGGGAGGGGGGGAAATGCCATTTCCCACAGGCCAGGTGTGCTGTTTAAGGTTCCTCCTGTTCATCCGTAGGACTGTATTTGCCTACCTACCCTACTTTGATTGTGGCTCGCGTGAGCATCCTGCAAGCCTTCCGGTTAAGCGTCCGCTCTGCCGAATCAAAGGAATGTGAGAGCTGTCCATGTAGGCAAACCACTTTGAACCACGTTTTTTGCAGCCTAAAAATCATCATAATATATATATATATACATATACATAGGCAACCTTTTGGACACATAGATGGCACTGGTAAATGGAATAACGCTTATCCAAACCATTGCCATCTAAGCAAACAAACCTAAAAAGGCATGCACAAAAGACAGCTAAGAACCTTTTTGTGTCAAGGCCAAAGGAGCACTTTTCGCAGGAGAAAAAAAAAGAAAGAGGATGGCATCTGTGGGAGCCCATTTCTCCAACTCCATGCCTCTGTGGCTTGATACGGCTGGCTTTCTTTGGGGCTGGGTACTGGTTGCGGATCGCTTTAAAAAGGGGAACCAAAGGGGAAAACCCGTTTTCTGCGCCATGTTTGGAAAATAAGCTCAGGTGATATCCCCAAAAGCATGCGGTGCTCTTTTTAGCGCTCGCACCACCCCCGCAACCCTCGCAGAACCTCGCGGAACCCTCGTGGAACCCTAGTGGAACCCTGGTGGAACCCTGGTGGAACCCTCATGTTTGGGGCTCCGATTCCCAAAAAGAAAAAGGCATACGCCCACCTTGGTTTGAGGTTCAGACCCCAGAAGCCTCAAAAGCCCCCCCCTTTTGCTGAGTTCTGCGGCCATGGCACCTGGTCAAAATCAAGAGAAGAACAGATCTTCCAGGAACCCTCCGACTTTGTTAGATTGGCGCGTTCTTGTTCTCACTTCCTGAGCGGATGGCCCACAAAAAGCAACCAAACTTTGGGTGTGCCGCCAAAATGGTCTTCCCGAAAAAGTTCAAAGTCCTTGAACTCCAGAAGTGAGTATTCTTTTCTGAACCCAAGTGTTCGAGTGTTGGGTCCTTTGGGGGTTGACAGAAGCCCTGGTTGGAAGCTTAGGCTTTCTTTCCTGCTTGTTGCTTCAGCCTTTTGGGGAAGCAACTTTGATCAACGGGTCTCGGGGGAATCCATTTGTATTCAAATCCGATCAAAAACCAGTTCATGTTTTATGAAATCCGCCGTTTTCCCCCAACCCCCTACGAACGAACCTGACATTTTGGGACTGGGGCTCGGGCTTTCGCTCACGTCGTACCTGGTCGGTTCTCGGGACCCCCAAACGCCAAGCCTCGAAGCTTGGTGTCCTTTTGGCTTTCTGCTGGGCTGTCCGTTTGAAAGGATCCCCCAAAAGTGAATAACTAGTGGGGTGAAAGGAAACCCCCAACCACCAAACCCACTAAAAAGCGGAAAAAAAAGGGAAAAAAAAGGAAAAAAAACTTCAGGAATCGGATGGCTGGTTGAACCACCAAGGGCTAGTTTCCAGTGAAAACCAAGAAGAAGAGAAAAAAACGCGGGCAGCGAAGCGCCGACGAATCAGCCAAAGGTGGTATCTTCAATCCCCGGAACGTCAAACTAGGGAACCCCGAGACCCCAAGCTGTCAGCTGGTCTCTGCAGACTCATGTTGGTTATCCAGCTTGAGTGGACTGGCCCCAAAAAAGTAGGCCCCCCCTTTTCATCTTTGCCACTAGGGTCCGAACCCAAAAAGTGCTCTTAAAGGCCATGAACTCAGGAAGTGAGTTATTCAGCTTCTGGTTTGGTGTCTTGGGCCACGGGATACCTCCCCAGTTGGCGTCAAAACGAGCTGAAATTCAAATCCCCAAAGTGTCTGCAAGATGGACAGCCCCAAGTCTTTACCTCAGCAACAAGAGCCCCCCCCAACCAAAAGCAATGTGGATTGATTCTCGTCTATGTTCGGTGATGATGCGAAAGAATATCCAAAAGGCAATGGACACCCCCTTCTGTTTTTTGGGATGGCGGAGACGGACACCACAAACCTCCTTCTCTCCCGAACTAACGGCCCTGCGAAGCAACCCTGCCAAAGCTTCGGCTTTCCCGAGAAGAAAACGGCAGCTCAGCTTCCCCCAGTTGGTGGTTTCAATTGGTGGTTTGGTGGTTGTGGATGGGTGCCCCAATTAACTCTCCACAAAAAAGAGCCCCAAACCGCACATCCAAAGAAGCAAGGGTTACTTCAGCAACAAGCTTCGGCGAATGTCTGGATCCTACTTCATCCAAAGGTTTTCGAAGGATTCACCAGCCTGGCCAAAACTGCATCATTGGAGTCCGGCCGTGTAAAGCGAGCAAGCACCCCGACCCTTTGGCTTTTGGTTCTACCATCACGGTCACAAAGGTTTTGGTTGGGGGGGTGTCTCAAAAATTCGGGGTGCCCCTAAAATGGGTCTCAACCCCAAATAGGGCACCCATTCAAAGAAAAGGGGGGACTTTTCGAAAACAATGCCTTCCCCCCCTCTTGGCTCGCCCTTAAAAAACCACAAATTGTCCAAGGTAGCCTCCAAAGGGACGGCCCCAAGTGCCGGGCCTTAGCAAGCCCCAGGGGAAACCAGTAGAACCACCTCTGGTGCTGCGCAGTTGGGCCTGCTCCCTTTTTTTCTGATGCCTATCCCCTTGGAGGAAACCCAAAAGGAAACTTCGAGGTACCCCTGGTTGGTGGTTTCAAAGGGAAATCAAAAGGAACCAGGCATTTAGGGGCAGTCCCCTAAAAACGACACACCCAAAAGCTTGGTTGCTGTTGACCCCTCTGCAAAAAGTTAAAGTCTAAAGATCCAGCCACTAGCTGTAGAGCAAAAGGGCAAGTATCGCAGAGGGCACACATTGAGCAGCACGCTATTGGCCTGCACTTCCTCCGCCTTCCGCCCTGAGTGGCGGGCGCTGAGCGCCGAGCCGCTCGTCCCTCCCGTGAACCCCCCGTGCCGCCTCGTAATTCGTCCGGGGCCAACGAAAAAGTGCGTCTCAGCATGTCTGACACCCAAAACACTTGGCTGGGTTCCTCTTGAAACACGTCTCCCCCTGAAAAAAAAATGAGCGTGAACCAACACGTCCGACAGCAAAAGCCCCAGTGACTTGCGGGCTCTCTTTTTTCAGGGTGACCCCCCGTCCAAAGTTCACTCTGCACCTCGTGTTTGGCGGAGTCCCCCGCAAAAGAAAGAAGAGGGTAGTGGCTCTGCAGTTGTAAACATCAGGTGACCCAAGTTGACCACTACAAACTGGGATGGAGGCATGTCCTACAAAGAAAAGGGACCCCGCTCGGCTCAGTTTACCATATGTGTGTCTTAAAATTGGGGATCCCCAAGAATGGTGATCTCCCTTCAAACCAAGCCCAAAAAGGGGCGCCAACTTTTGAAAAAAATCCAAAGAATGGTTGACTTTCCTTTTGATCTCCCTTCAAGCCAAGCACAACAAGGAGTACCCTCAAAAGACACGCCCATATCATGTTGCTCTGTTTCACAAGCAATCTGGGCCCCTAAAACTGGGAATGGAACCCTTTTCCCTTGTGGTCAAAAACTTGCTATCCCCAAGAAATCAAAGCGGGGACCCGATCAGGCCAACGCAGAACCGGTTGGGGGGAACCGCCCGGGAAAAAATGAAAACTTGAGAAGGCACGATACCCCGGAGAAAAGCCCATGTGCGCTTTACTGTAAGGTACCTCATTTTTGGCCATAGGCTTTTCCCAAGTGGACAGTGCCTTCTCAACTTGTTTATTGATTTAGAAAAATAAAAATGAGCGAGCACGCAAAGGTTGGGGAAGCACGCAAACCCGGAGAAGGCCCGCAAAACCCGGAGAAGGCCCGCAAAACCCGGAGAAGGCCCGCAAAACCCGGAGAAGGCCCGCAAAACCCGGAGAAGGCCCGGAAAAAAGTCCGGGTCTGTTTTGTTTGGCGATGTGCCACGTGCAAATCCGCATCCATGGCTGCTGGTGACGCCTGTGCGGCTGCTGACGCTGGTGATGCCTCTGAACTGGTGATGCCTCAAAAAATCTTGCCAGAGCCAAGGCTGACAAACCGACATGCCAACCCTTGAGAAGGCACGCTTATCTGGAACCCGCAAAATCCAGAGGACGCGTGTCCAGACCTCCGACAAAAAAGGCGCCAACTCGAAAACATAGAAGAGGACAGACCCATAAATTTCAACCTTTCTAACCATGCTTGGGTTCAACAGTCAATAGGCTTTGGGCGCTCCTAGGTCTCTTCACCGCCGATGTTTTGCGTACGATTCAAGAATCTAAGAACATATTTTCTGGGATCCCAGGATAAGGCTTGTCCCAATACTCTCGGTGTTCAATAAGATTCTCGGAAAAGCTTTCCGTGACATACTTCAATCTCGAATCTTCATTTAGGGAGCCAAAAACCGAGATCCAACGACCCCTCCCCCCCCCCCTCCAAAGGACCGCTTCTCCCCCCCCACCAAAAAAGCCGCTCCACCCCCCCCCCCCTTCCCCCTGCAACCCAAAAAAACTGCTCCCCCCCCCCGCCCCCGACCAAAAAACCGCCTCCCCGTGTCCCCGGGAACCGACTCTCGACGAATTTCCCCGCCTCCTCCCACCTGCTCCAGCAGCCCCGTGAGGCCTTTGGAGGCCCAGATCCGCTCCGGCGCCTCCTCGCCTGGGCCCCAATGGGTCGCTCGGTCGGTCGGTCATTCTTTTTTGGGAGGTGGTGTTCCCTTTGGTGGGGTTGCAAAGGGGGGGGGGGGGGGAAAAAAACATAAAAGGCATCCTTTTTTGGGGTTGCCAAAAAAACAAGAAGAACATAGTTGGTACCCCTTTTTGGGGTTTTGGGGTTGCAAGGAAAGAAAAAAACAACCAACATAGTTGGGGTCCCCAAATAAACAGGTAGCCCTTGGTTGGTGGCTTGGATTTGTGGTTTGGGAGTTAGTACCCCTTGGTGGACTCATCTAGCCGAAGCGGTTTTGAGCAAGTGGCTGATGTTGTCTTGCTGGCGACCAAAGGGAAACCAAAGGAACAACCAACTTAGTTGGGGGCGGTTCGAGAGATGCAGGGGCCCTGAGAAATGACATGACCCCTAGAAGAGCCCTGCATTTCCCCTTCCGATTCATTTCCAACACCTGAAGAGTCCTTCCCTACTGAGTGCCAGCAAGAATAGGGTCTGGTTCTTTGTTTTTTGAGTTGGACCCTCCCACCAATTCAAGAAAAGGAAAATCGTCCAAACCAGGACCCCGAACTTCAGGTGTCATCCCGCGTACCCAAAACAAGTTGATCTAAGGGTTGCCACCCCAAACACAACAAGTAATACACAAGTTGCCAATGAAAGAAAACGAGTTGCGAGGAAGAGTCGCGCAACTTCACCAGGCAAAGACATCTTTGAACTCTGGCAACCATTCTAGGGGTACCTTCAACATTCTTTCCAGGGATCCTTCTTTTCAGGAAACCCTCAAAAACCGGGGGGGAAACAGCCGGTTTTTGAAAAGAACCATTGTTGAAAAGCATGGAAAAGGAATCAACCCCTAGAGGGAATCAACCCCTAGAACCATATGCAAAGTGGTGGTGGATTGCAGGGTACCTCTAGTGGTTTTCAGCAACGGAGCTTGGGGTTCAGCCAAAACAGGCTGCCAAAAGGAAGTGGCATGTGACACGTCCAACTGACCCTCCCCAAATCTCAGATGGCGATTTGGCAAGAAACTGCCTCTGTCGCTTTGCAGGTTCAAAGTTGTGTATGTCTATTAATACCTCGGACCTTTCTAGTTGTTGGGCAAAAAGGCACAAACTGAACCAGAGAGTTGGGCGCCTTTGGGCGCCAGGTTGGAGGCTTACCTTCAGGCTAGCCCCGGAAAACCAGCGAAAACACACCTTTCTAGGGGTTGATGCCCCATTCTTTTCAACCATCGGTCTTTTCAAAAGCCAGCCGTTTTCCCTGGGATTCCGGAGGTTTTTCCAGAAAGAAGGATGCCTGGAAAGAATGAGGAAGGTACCCCTAGAACCTTCGTGGCCAAAGTTTGGCTCAAAATTAGTGACTCCCAGACTCAAGCTGGCCCATTGCCCCGGTGCTCAGGCATCATCTGCTCATTTTGCCCATCGCAGTGCTAGGGTTCAAGCGTTATTGAACCCAGAAGGCAAGAAACACAGGACCCTTGAGCCACTGTTTGCTGTCGCCACGGAAGCACATTATCTTCCCACTTTCGAGAAACCTTTTGACAGCATTGACCAGCCACAGTGGACGCTCATCCTGCCTTTGAATCGCCACTGTGGGCGAGCCAGGCAAGACTCAAGCAAGAGCCAAGCGCTCAGCGTTGGCCTAGAACTCATCACCGTAGCCTGACGCGTTGGAAGGAAGAAGGATGACTGCTAACTGTTGTTCACACTATATGGGGGTGCCTTGCTTTTAAGGGCACTTTTATGGGATGGCTGTAAAGGAAAACCTAAAGGAACCCAGGGACGCAAGAAAGGAACCTTCATCCGAGAAGCAAAAAACCTTTTAAGGTCGCTTTAGAGAGTTTGCCCAGGTGCGAATTGTTTCATTCATGAATAGGATTCAAAAGTGCAAACCAAGATGTGAACTCTTGCAACTGCCAAGCACAAGCAACTGCCATTGTCCTTAGCATGGTGCAACTGCAAATACAAACAACCACAACAGTCACGCACGCCGAGCGCGCACGCGCACGCAAGCACGTACGCACGCATGCACGCCCGCACACCCTCACGCACGCACGCACGCGTACACAGAACGCGCGCGCACACACACACACACTGTAGAATTTATTCCGCGCATATACACACAAAAACTAAACCAACAAGCCAACAAGAAAACCTAAAAAAAAAAAGAAGCAAGCAAACAAGCCAACAAAGCACACCAACAACAAAAAACGTGCAAACTGGCACGACCGTCCGATGTCGCCCTCTCGTTTACGACCTCGCGCCTTCCTCTTCGCCCTCCCCTTCGGCCGTCTCGATGCCCACCTCCTCGTAGTCCTTCTCCAAAGCCGCCAAGTCTTCGCGGGCCTCGGAGAACTCGCCCTCCTCCATGCCCTCACCCACGTAGTGGTGGACGAAAGCACGCCTTTCATGCAGACTCCACCAGCCACCAAAAAAAAACATAGAATGCTAGATAGCTGAATCCAAACACGCAACAAAAGCCGGAATCAAACAAGAACCACAGACCGGGTGAGTATCTGTGTCACTGTGCAGTGAGATCCCAAAACACGTTGTACACCCAATACGGCATGTGTCTTTTTTCGGCAAAGAGCATGTATGTGTATGTTGGCTTCAAACGGCAACTTGAAGTAAAGTAAAATCTTGCTGGATCCGCAATATGATGAGCACACTGCTGTCCACACAACTGTGGTCAGCGAAGCGGCTCAAGTTCACACACCCCGCTGGAAGTCTGCTTCAACTCTGTCGTTGACGGTGCTGTCTTAAGAAAAAACGGGTTTGGTTCCCCAAAATGACATAGGAAAGCAAGTGCTGCCCTGGCCGAAGCCTGTCCCAACACTCAGCCTAGACCGTCAGCAGCTCGCATGAGCCGGCAGGGGTTGTCTCAAAATCAGGGAAACCCAAAAACAGCTGGTTTGGCCTCATCCCACTTGCACAACCCCGACAACACATACCCCTAACATACATGTCTGTAAAACCACAACTCATCGACCACCAAAATGCGAATCACTCTGCAAATCGTTGCTAGAAAGCAGGCCAACGCATCCAAACAATAGCGCCCATCACAACTGCTGCAATACACAATCAAACTTGCACGTGTCATTCTACAATGATTCTACTTTTGCGGCAAGGATCTTGCTGTACATCAGATCGAATTTGTGGTCAATGCGGGAGAAGACTTCCGCGATGGCCGTGCTGTTGGAAATCATACAGCACGCACGCATGACCTTGGCCAAATCACCACCAGGCACCACTGTAGGAGGCTGGTAGTTGATACCGCACTTGAAGCCAGTGGGGCACCAGTCCACAAATTGGATGGTGCGCTTGGTCTTGATGGTGGCA